TAATAAACACATAAATAAACACATGTTATTTGGTTTCTCTACAGTAACATCTCGTGTCGTATGTATTCATTATAATCCGGTTTGAAAATTTCAAAACAAACTAAATTTTAATTTAATAAAATAAAAATTAGTATACGAAATTATGTACAAATTATCGTTTTTTTTTCAATGATCAAATTGCATTTAAAGGCGATTGAAAATCAATGAATACTATGAAACCAAATAATGGCAGACAAATGTAAATTGAATAAAATAACTAAAAATGGCAGAAATACCTATGGTTAATAACCCTTTGAAGCAGTTGACTTTTTTTTATTTAAAATATTTGTATTATTATATTGAGTTTTTATCCTGTACTTTGTATTTTAATAAAAATATAATAGAATAAAAATCAGCTGTCAGATTAAAATAGGATCGACTGAAAAGAGATTGGCCTAAGTTTTATTTTGTTTAATAATTTGTTAGTACTTAAGTCACACGACTTATAACTTTGATCATCATTGCAAGTTGAAATGGTCATTAGTCAAATTTCATATAAAAAAAAACTTCTTAGTTTCGCCTGAAGTGTACTCGAGAAATATATTTATAAAAAAACTGTAAAAACATATGGACATTTAACATTAAAACTTTAGTAAATACCAATATAAGTTGGTACACCTGATATGTATTGATCTCTCATATCCCACATAGTGTACAATATAAAATAGCAAATACATACTTTCCTCCACACAAATTCGTTCTAAAAAAATGATACTTTGTCTTGTCACGGTTATTCTGCATGAAATATAATAAAAGCAATAGCGATGTAATTTTTTTTTTCAAAATGCACAATACATAACTCGTACTGCTGATGAAATCGTTCGAATTTCGTTTTGTTGTTGTCGCGTTTCAGTGCCTTCTCGCTATAAAATATTGAATTGTATTCAAATGGGAGTTGATGTTTTATTCATAGACACATTTTTCTTTTCAATTTCTCGAGGGAAGTGTCTTGAATATGTTTCTTGCACACCTTCGTATTTACCGGAGAAATCCACTTTTGTATATAGAAACAATGGAGACAATGCGAACTCTATTTTGTTTTCTGTTTATTTATTATTTATATATGTAAGTTCGTACCTTTTGTTGCTTTAAAGATTTTACGTAAATATTAGTTACTTAGAGTTTGATTTTTTTCTCAAATCGCGGTATTATTGTGTATATAGAAAATAAATCGATTACATAGGCTATTAACTATATATTTTTGTTAATATTATAAATAATTTAATTATCTGTAAGAGGATGTATCAGATTATAAAATATTGTAGTATTATTAGTTAATAATTTTAATTAATAATACTGTGTTTTTCCTTGTGGACTAAATTCTGTAGACAATATTCTTAATTTTGAAAACAATTACATCAAACTCTCATTTAATAGGATAACATTACATCCTATTAACCCCCATTTGATGTATTATATTGAAAATGAAAAATTTTCTGGGAAACTTATTTGGGACAGAGCAGTCAGCTTTGTAGAAAAGGGGGGACGAGACGTTTGCGATTATAAATTTCCGACGACGACAAATTTCCGCATCTGACAACAATTATATATAGGAAGCATTAGGGAGGATGTGCCCTATAAACGCGCTACCCTTCGACCCCCGTACCACCCCCGTTTATCACCAGCGTCGTATGTCAACGACGAAGAGAAGCATTTGCTATCCCTGCACCCACCCTAATTGAAATATTTCGACGAAAAATAGGGGATGTAGCAATTTGATATCGATTCAATCTTGGTGCTGCTAACCGAATCTTCGCACTCCACCGTACACAAACACACAACCGACCCACACACGTACAAACTGTGGTTTTCGGATTAGATGTGTGATTTGGAGTTTGTAATTGTGGAGCAGCACAACATCAAAACGGCCGCAGCTTTGGTGGCGGAGGCGCCCGGGCGGCAAGGGGGTCTCTTTGGTTGGTGGCGGCAACAGCAGCATGGAGCAGCAGGAGACAGGGTCGGAATCCGGAGGGCTGAATTGAAACCGTTCGGATACATCAAAGCGAAACGGAAACAGAATCCCGTTTGATATAAATATTATGTTGGGCGAAGCAGACCGACGCGGGGATCGGAGTGGGTTGTTCGTTGGCGGCAGCTGGGGGCGGCGGCGGCGTAACCCGAGCTAATGTTTCCCCAGGATACAAAATCGATGCAGATAAAATAAATTTATACAGGGAAAATGTATATGTGTTTGTTTGTGAGAGAGAGAAAGAGAGTGGCGAATAACAGGAAAGAAAAAGTAGATTTAAATAACATCCGATTTATCTTTGAAGGTAAACCTTTTTATAATTGTGTTATTAAATCTCGATACATTTAATATGATCTAAGGAATCAGATTTACATCTGTACTACTTTATTCCGTTCGTGTTAACATTAATAATCATTAGAAATAAGAAAAAATCAAATTATCAATGGAACAGATGGCGGTGTGATTTTGACAGCGAAAGTATCTGACACTATTATTTAATTAGCTACTAAATACCTCGAATTACGAATAGATTGCTTTCAACGAAATTTCTTTATTAATCGAATCTTCATTCTAAGAGGTAAACATACTATGACCTGAACAAATGAGTTTAAAGTTGATTGTTTGTGCTGTTTTCTCTTTCATTTAACCATTATTTATACATAGTTATTCCATGTAACACTGGATAACTTCATTTATAAATTCTTATTTTCACTTCTAGTATAAATTCTGGGCATATTTTGTCGGGAGTTGTCGTTAAATTGGATTTTTTATATTAAATGGGGCTTAAAATTGCGGATTTTGATTATGTTACGTTAAGTAAGAGTAATAGTCCCATAGAATTATCTTAATCTTATGAGCTTTAAATCTACTTTACGATACATTTAAAAGAGTCTACACATCTATGTTGTTATTACTAAGTTCCTTAGATTTGACAACTCGTACAAACATTTTTACCAACCTAAAGAACATACATTCTAAATGATTTAAACAAGTATTTGATTATCTCTAATGATATTGAAACTGAAGTAATGACTATGACTCAATAAATAATAATTATAATTAGGGTTTATACAAAAACCGATTTAAAAAAAAAACGTTTTCGAATCTCAACTACAACATCTCTACAAAACCGGTGTAAACCGGTTTTCGATTTTATACAAAAAAAATAGAGAAAAAGGATTTTTACAACTTATTTTATATTGCTCACACGGATCTATTGTAAATACAAAATTTACTGAGTTTAATTGTTTTTGGAGCATTAAATAATGAACAATATTATATGTTTTTCTCTTTGTACATCTTCATGTTCTTGAAGATATTTATGAATTTATGAATTTATTTTTCAAATCAAGCTATGAAATGTTGTTCTTCTTCGTCGCTTTTTCATCATCACAGTCATCTTCTATTTAATATACAATCTTGATAAAATTTGTCCAAAAACTTAATGAAGCTAGTGAAAGAAACAAACACGTCTAGCTTCCTAGACGTGTTTGTCTAAATGTTCTGTAGATTTTGTAAATTAGCTAAAAATCTTACAACTAATTTCAGTTTTTTTTTAATTCACGTAACAGAGACGATTTTGTATCAACATTTTTTATGTTTTTATCAAATAATTACATTATTTTTTATATTTTTAGTCTAGGCTAAAAAAAACCGGTTATTTAGTTTTCGAATTATATAAATTTTCTCTAAAAACCGACAAACCCTAATTATAACATAATTTACAAACAGAAGATAATACATGTAAGTCAATTACTTCCTTATATTTACTTAAACTAAAACTGCTACTACTACTTTAAATAGAGTCCGGTTTTGCTGTATATTTGAAAGTGAAAACACTTTGAAACATTCAATAGAATTCAACTGCAGTGCGGGTGAATGCGCCGGGCTCGAGTCGCGCAAATTAAATGATGTATTCCTTCGCATCATATATATTGTAAACAGGGATAGAGCTTTAGATATTCCGAAATGTACGTGTATTCGAATCTTTCGTTTTAAACGACTCGTTTGAATGGGCTCTAATCGTGAGGATAAAAAAAAGACGAACAACCGACGAGAAAGCGTTTCCGCTCTTTTCATCGTTGAGAACCAGGCAATTATCCGCCTCTCGTAATATGGATATCAAGCATATAACACTGAAAGAAAAATGTAATGAAAGAGAAAAAGTTATAGCATAAAATAGATAAAGTATCTTTAATACGAATCCCAGAAATATACCAGAAATATACTAGAAAAAATATCTGTTTTATCATAAACATTACAAAAAATCATATCATATACATGTAATTCAGACAAAACTAATATATTTAAATTAAATGTGCTAGTTACTTCAGATATCATAACTGACCATAAAATATTACATAAAAAAATGTTCTGAAGACTTGTCAAACCATTTTAAAATTTTCATAATGTTAATTAATATAATTAATAATTGAACTATCTTTTTTTTGTAATTTTAAGTCATAAAATCTACCTAACCTGATTGCCATTTTTCACGTTTTCAGGTATTTGAAGGATTTATTTGTCAATTCAATTTACATAAATAGATGAACATCAATTTAATTGTTCAATAAATTACTTGGCATGTACTGCGTGATACGATCATAATATGAATTGATTGATACATGAATACAAATTACTATGAAAACTAACAATGACATAACAAATTGTTAAAACATGATTTATAATGACTGGAAACCGAATAAGACTACATTAATCGCATGCTCGATAAATATGTTTCCACTTAGAATTCGAGAAGTGAAATGAAAATTCTTGTGTATTGTGGTTTCGGAATAATCATTCGAAGCGTGTGGAATGCGAAACCGAGGAACGACAGCAAAGTTACAGCAATAAATCAAGTTATTTTCGTCGTGTGTACTTTTTGTTAATGGTTTTTAAGGTCGTAGACTGGCTAATTTATGGCGTGCAATCTGAGTGCACTTATCGTCGTTTCAATCATTGGACTTTTTCCTTGACCTCAAACCGAATATAGATTAGGTCAACCAGGCGTCGATGTGCACCTCAGGCATGACACGGATGGATCTCTGGGCAGCTCGGCTGTTGTTCAACTGCAGTTCTTGGTAAATGAAGGTGCCCTCATATCGGCAACCGCAGATGACACCCTTCACCTATGGAACTTCCGTCAGAAGGTACCGCAGGTTGTGCAGAGTCTGAAATTCCAGAAAGAAAGGTAAACTATAATTGTTACTTTGTTTATGATTGATTATCTCCATAATAGGAAAAAAATGTTTGTTTATATTTTATGAATATTCATACATTCAATCCATTATTGATGATTACATTTCTATTGTTTTATTTTGTAAACATTTAAAAGTTTAATCTATTCCTGACAAATCAGTGATATGTGTCTAATATAAATTCATTGTTTCCGTTTTTTATCCAAAATAAATGTCTGAACAAATCTATCAATCATTGTCATATTTGATATATATTCATAGACAATCTTATATACATGTCAAATATGGTCATTTCTTGTAATAGTTTTACAAACCTTTTGATTTAATGATTGTCATAATGATACTTTTGTTGCTCTATTTTCTTTTATACATTTTATTAATGAACATTAAACTAAATGTACAGATTTTAAATAATAATTGAATGTTTCTAAGTTTATTATAAAGTAAAATGTCGTTAGGTATTTTTGATGCAAATACGAATTAGATGTCAATTAGTTAAATGTAAGATGAAAATACTTTTTACTATGTCTTTTCACGAGACATGGATGTTACAAGTTAGTATAAAGATCAAAACGGTAAAATGATGAATGAATCTTGTAATAATTGGCACGTAGACGCAAATTAAGTTGTTCGCGTTAATGTTGCAGGATAACGTGCATGCACTTGCCGTTACAGTCGAAATGGTTGTACGTGGGCACCGAACGAGGAAACATCCACGTGGTGAACATCGAGAGTTTTGTTCTCTCCGGCTACATCATCAATTGGAACAAGGTTATCGAGGTGTAAGTAAAAATCCTCATATTAACTTAACTTTCAGAATTCACAATTTTGAGTATTTGCATTGCAGTTCGAGGAAGACGCACCCGGGACCCGTAGTTCACCTCAGCGACAATCCATTGGATACAAATAAAGTATGTCTCGAATCTCTCAAGTTATCGATAGAAACAATTCAATCACGTTTTTCTATCCTGCAGCTATTAGTTGGCTACGAGAGCGGACAAGTCGTCCTGTGGGATCTGAAGAACAAAACCGCCGACATCAGATATCAAACTTCTGAGCCTCTGAGGGCAATCGCGTGGCACCACGAGGGAAAGCAGTTCATGTGCTCGCACAACGATGGCTCTCTCACCACATGGGGAATCAAACTTAACCAGAAACCTCTCCACATCTCACAACCGCACGGTAAGCTCTCCTAATGAAAACAACAAAAGTTTAACGTGTATCTGTAATGCATTTATCACTATAAAAATTTACACTACTAAAACCAAATATGGATTCAAGTCATGTTTTGTATTTTATTGAAATTGACTTTAGTAACAAATTTTAACAACGTGTTCTTGTTAAAACAAACAATAAACTTCAATCTTTTAGGGAGTAAAAGTTTTTGTTTTCGAAATTCAATCACAAAGTATAGATAAAACCCTTTGCAATTGAATTTTGTTTAGTTTTGTTCTTCTGTTTACTTATTAGATTCTGTTATTTAATTATTCAGACCAACAAACGTTTCCACGATTCATTTCACAATCCACCCAAAACAAATAAAATACAAGCATTTCATTTCAGAAATTACATGGAAGTGTTTTTTTCTTAACCTTTATCTACTCGTGCCAAAAAATTTCTATGTACTACTCGCACGGTGTATTTTATACACCACATGTATTACTACCAGACGTTGTGCATAAATGATTGTATTAAGACAAAAATATACTTTCATGTTGACTAGTGCTTTTTTATTAGATTCATAACAATTTTTAATACATTAATATAATAATTTCTGAATCAGATTTGTCATAATTACACCAACACTGCAGAGCAAGAAGAACCTGCACAAAAACAACTTATTAGTGCAGCAATCAACACAATATTGCACCAGCACTTAGTAAACACTTTGGGCATAGGTTACGTTAAGTGTCATAGATGGGCGAAAGATAATATAGATGTATGATTTCTTAGAATATTGGTGTACTTTTTACACCGGCGTGAGTAATTAAAGGTGTTAACTGTTATTAATTTTTCAATATGTTAGCATAGATGCTGCAATACTTCGCATAGTGCGGCTTCACTATAGCACGGTTTAAAAATTTCAAAACAAACTAAATTTTAGATGAGCAAAATAAAATTCTAGAAGTTCTTGGATTAGTCTGATTTCAAACAGCCCGAGATATTGTCGGAACCGATTACCAGCAATATGCAAGAAAATCAAATCTAATCTTAATATTTTCAAGAAAAAATAACTAGAGTTTAGGAATATCCAAATATATCTGCATTCAACTCATTATTTTTTATTAAAAAGTAAATTTTATCGAGCAGCGTTTATAGATTAATTAATGTTTGACCCGAAGTCTGAATCCAGTTTTTCCACATATTGTATTTTTTTATTTGAATTTTACAGCGAAAGTCGGCAAGGATGGCAAGATTGAGCAGTGCAAGGCAATACCGAAAGTGGAATGGAAATCATCTAAAACTGGGTAGGAATATATATTTCCACGTCAAAATAGATTCTCGTTCACGATTCCATTCAAATTATTGCTTTCAGCGAGGCGTACGTGATATTCTCAGGCGGAAATTCGTACGATCAGTCAGGCAGGACTCCGAGTATAACTGTGGTTCACAGCAAAATCACAACGGTCCTGGAGATGGAACATCCGGTGGTGGATTTCATAACTCTCTGCGAGTCACCATATACCAGCGGTACAACATATATATGAAGCTCTCATGAACAATTTATTACATAAAGTTTTTTTTGTTTTTATTCTCTTTTATGCTCCACCCTTTGTCGACGGTGAAGAGATGCAAGAGCCATACGCCATCATTGCTTTACTACAGACTGACCTGGTGGTCATCGATCTGCAGACCGTTGGTTTCCCGTGTTTAGAGAATCCGTACCCGATGAACATACACGAGTCGCCAGTCACCTGCTGCAGTTATTTAGCCGATTGTCCGGCAGATCTGATTCCTGCCTTCTATTCAGTAGGAATCGCTACAGCGGTGAAGCGGACGGACTTCTCCGACCAAGATTGGCCCATCAGCGGTGGAACTTGGACGGTGACTTCCTGCAGCTACAGCGAGATCATTTTGACGGGGTAAGCAACTCCCATATCATAACAACCCTTTATTAATCCCATATTCACTAATTGTACTTGACAAACAATTAATATTACATTATTTATTACCATTTTATTAATATTTAAAAATGTAAATAAAATAAATTAGTGAGTAAACTGAATATATAATTACTGTTGTATAAAAAAATAGTTTTTAAATACATACCAAGATAAGCTACATTCAAATGCAGACAGAAACTGCATATTTGCCAATACATAAATTGGAAAATTGAATACTTTATCGACGGGAAATGTAATTTTATCTTTTTTAATTGTGTAACACTCAATTTGGGTAACTGTTAAAATTCCCCTTTTTTATTGTGCAGACCAATTATTTTTATACGTTATATTCACAATTATTTTTTTGTTTGCTTCAGTTGATTTGAATACATCCTTTAGGATTAAATATACTTGACTTTTGATATAAAACTAATCTTTTAAGGAGGTATGAAACTAAAAATTATAGATACTTTCTGATTATAAAAGTTTATGTAAAATATCAATTTATGCAACACTTTATATAAAAAGTATATTATACTTTGTAAGTACATAACTTGGCTAGATGATGATAAAACTATTAAAATAGAGGTGCATACACACTATACGGAATTTGCTAATTATCTTTTATTATATACGAGTATTTTAGGAACTTGTATTAAGTCAAATAATACAAGTTGCATAATTTCAAGTTAATAGTCAAACAACATTTATGCTGTTCCATTTTTTTAGAGGAGAGGAAACTTTACGGGGTGAAGTCGTGGTACTGTGGGATTCTTGTCGCACTAAAACCTCTCCTTTTCTTCGTCAGCATACAGGACCTGTATTCCTCTGCGATGCTGATTGTTCTTGCCTGTCTGGCACGTCCCTTGGATCACTTATGTCTGTGCTCTATTGCCACTGCCCTCGTAGGGCCTGCTGTCTCCTCTCGTCTTCTTCTTTAGTCAGTAGGACCTCTGTTATGTATGCAGCTACAATCTCGCAGCTCTCTGCACTCTTCAATATTTCGCTATCCAAATTTTCCGGCTCCAGCAAAATTCCCAATTCTGCCTCGTCTTTCTTTTCATTCGTCCTCTGCATTTAACATTACGGTGACCTATAAAAAGTAATAGACCAAAAAAAGAATATATAGATGTCAATAAACTATAAATATTTCTTTGTTTTAATAAATTATTACTATTACTATTTTTATTACACCAGTTTTATATAATTCTATAAATAACACGATTCAATGAGTAATACATTTTTAAACCAGCGATTGTTTGTATTATAATTATCAAGTTGCAAGGTAAATTGTTTATTGCTTGACGAATGTCAGTAATGTGTACAGAAAATGAGTTTAAAAACAAAGCTTAATTAATTAAACAGCAAATTACAATTGTTGATTTTTTTTCATATTCTTCTGAACTTTAAATTGTAATAAATCTCATTATTGGTGAATTTACTACTACTACTACTTCCCCTACTAAACAGTATAATTTCTAAGATTAGATTCGGTGATTACAAATTTACAAATTCTTGACTACGTATGTATACTATTGTACACACCAATTTTTGTTTATTGTATAACAGCCATTAAAAATTAAAGTAATTGAGGAGTTGAGTTTACTATAACAAACATTACATAGTTAAATAGCTATAGTTTTTGTTTGATATTTTGTTTTATTTCATTGAGTATTTTCCAAACTGAAATTAAATATATTTTTGTGCAGACATGCTGATGGTACCCTAAAATTCTGGGATGCAAGTGCCGGTACACTACAGGTCCTATACAAACTGAAGACGGCTAAGATTTTTGAAAAGCCAGCTCGAAGGTCGCTCGAGAGCGAAGATGAGCCTTTCGCGGTGCAGCTGATCTCGTTTTGTCCGGAGTCAAGGAAACTGTGTCTTGCAGGAGCCTCGAGCCATGTCATCCTCTACTGCTTCAAGAGATTCGAGAGCAATGAAGAAATGACTGTGTTAGAGGTTCCCATAGTCTACGAGAACCCCGACGAGGGCGAATGCTCTCCGGACTGTCAGTTCTCTGGGCCAGGTAGCGCAGGTTCAGGCTCTCGCCTGGATATGATGGAGTCCTCCGATAGAAAGGACATCCTCAGAGTACGCGCTGGTAACCATAAGAAGCCCGTAGGTTACCAGGTACAGCTTGTCTGCATCACACCCTGGAGCAACGGTGAAGCCCCATCTAATATCACCTCACTGACCATCAACAGTTCATACGGATTGTAAGTATTAAAAATTCTAACAATATATTTACAATTGATTGACTTAAATTCTTGAAATTATCGTAATTTAATTATTATATTGAAACTTTATTGTCTCGCTTTATTTTAACAGTGTAAACGTGATTATTTTCATACTAAATCATTAAAGATTCTTATATTCAGACTTTAGTCACTGCTCTAAATTCATGAGAGATTAATTATCGACCAATACAACTTCACAGAGTAACTACCACGTAGTGTGTAGTTTGATCAAAAGGTGTAATTGGATCTTATTTTATCGAAGACGTTACCCGTAACGTTGTAACCGTGAACATCTATTAGATGAACAGAGTTTGTAAAGCAAGTGGTTTCTATTACACGGAACGAACCTCAATCGAATTTTGGAAGAGAATGTTCTCAGACAAATTAATCTAGAAAAGTGTGATGTTAGCGATTAGCAACCATGGCCCGCAAGATTTTAACAAATTTTATATGCGTTTCCTGTTTATCTAAAAATGAATAATAATAATACTTGAAAAATTATCTAAAATTTAAGTCATATAAATAATTTCAAACTTCCAATAATCATTTACATTGAATATATTTAAATATATTATATCATGACCAATATATTAAATGCGTCTTGTGTTTCTTGAATGTTTTCAGGATGGCGTATGGAAACGAGGCCGGTATTGTTATAATCGACATAGAGCAGAAGGTTTGTTTGTTGAACGTGGGAAGTCCGGATCTGTATGGCGCCCAGGACCCATACTGCAGAGCCCCGAGGAGCCCGAAGCGCGGCACCACCGACATCCTACCCATAGACCGGGACGACCGGCACCCCAGAAGTCCCAGCATTGATCAGGTTATTATCATCTTCCACCAAAATCTATTTATTTTCTCTATTACCTTCTTCTCTTATCTACAACTCTATATTTGAACACATATCTCAGCCTTTCGGATTCAAATAATTCTCTTGCAGGCATGATATTATTGTTAGCACTACTACTTCTACTGACCCCAAATCTGATCAACGATCTATTTATTTAATTATTCTTATATTATTATTGTTATTATGATTACTATTAGTTTTATGTTGCCGACTCCTTATTTATTTTACGTATATGTTAATTTGCTACTTGAGAAGGTGTATCGTCGTAAGTTTGAAGAGGTTATTTTGAGTGGCATTCTCATAATCCGGTCCTCTTCGCAACCACCTGATTTATATAACTGATTTATTTTCATTAGTTTGTTTATTGGTGTTTTACAAATGTTTTATTTATTTCACTTTTATTTTGTTTATGATTTACTTTTTCGTTATTTTTTTTTTGTTTACGATTATTATGATTTTGTGTGTAAATCTGGGCCTGTGCATGCCTGTAGATGGGATCTCCGGAGTCCCCTTTATTCCCCATGCCCTGCCCGTTGCCCACCACCATCACCAACACCACCCCCGTCGAAGTAGCCCACGAAGCGCTCGAAGATGTCGTCGAGCAGGCGGTGCCGATACCACAAACAGCGGCCGGCCGCAGGAAATCATCCACGTGGAAGTCATCTTTGAACATCAAGAGGCGCCTATCGAAGGTCGACATCAAGATCAAGTTCCGTTCAAACTCGTCGTCCTCCTCGTCGACGACGGCCAAGCGCAACTCAATATTTTATGCAGGAGTCTCTCCTACCCAAGATCCTTCTTACGAGGAGGAGAACGAAGAGGATGCCGAAGAGTCCGATGACGTGTTAGACACCAAAGATTCCGAATGCGAAGAGCTATACGAATCGGATGACACTTTAGATGCAGGAGGCTGTGGTAAGGGCGCAGCGAAGGCCGTGGACAGACCCTGCGACCTTGACCTTCCCGATGGCCCAGTTCCACCACCTCGGAACAAAAAAAAGAAGCAGAGGTCACGCGACCAGAGACTACTCTCGGTGCCAAATATCAAGTACAAACCCGACCTAATGTTGGATCTGCGCGGCGACAAGGACGATAAAGAGGTGCCCTGCAATGCGCAACCCTCGTTCGCCGGACACTTGATGAGACGTTTCAGTAAGTCTTTACTCTAAAAAAATAAAAAATCATCGACCAAATATCCACCACCCAACCCACCCAAATAATTAAAACAAAACAAGAAAAATAATAACTTAATAATCCTCCCAAACCCTTACTAAATCTCTTTCTATTTATCTCTTCTGAATGAACTACCAATAGGGTCCACACACAACACACAGAACTGAAAGATTTTTTAGTGAAGAATGTTGTGTGTTTGTGCTTGCGTCTTCTTCTTGTTTATTAATGTCTGATTTCGGTAGAAGTATTTATTATAATTGGTAATTTAGCAAAGTTGGTAGTGATTTATCTTGAATATTTTTCTACATGTTTCTTTAAGGAATGTCAAACGTACGGTGGTGGTTTACAATTATTAGTTTTATTTTTATTTATTTTTTCTTTCATTTAACAAAGATTTAAAACAAATAATATTTACATGGCCCAAGAACGAAAACATACTAAAAACATATGTTTATTATATATTCGTTTAATTTAAGTTTCGTCCCATTTCAGACCGATTTTTCTCGCTTGTTTGCCGATACGCTTTTTACTTATTATTCCCCGTTTTTTCTTTTATACTTTTATTTAATGTTTTGTTCTTTTAATTTGTTCCTTGAATTATGATTTCTTTTTCCTTCACACTGCGAGGTGTTCTGTTTTTGGTTTTTGGTATAGTCTGTAAGATGATGTATTTCTGTATACAAATATGCTGTTTGTTGCGCATCGATCTCGATCGGAGAGCCGACCAATGTTTTGTGATTATGTTTGTGTTTGATGAGCAATGTTGTATATAACTGTTGATTGATTTCAGCGTGCGGGGGGTTTGTGACTATGTTCACGGTGGCTTTGGTTTGTGTTGAAGGACGATGAGAGCAGTTGCCTACTCGACCTGTTGTTGGGTAAATTTGCGTGTAGTTTCGTACACAAGAACTAGACTATACTTGAACGCACCCGAACGCCTACCCACGCATCCGGGGACACCTGTCCTCCGATTTTTCCCGAATCGGAGGGCGGCGAACTGTGGGTGGGCACGTAGCGCCTGAAATTCCCAAAAGACCCATGTTGTTCGAACTAGGCCTCCCCCGTCGCGGCTTGAGATCCTCGCGTTTTCCCAGAACGGACGTGGAAAACGCCCGGACCAGACGCACGGGGAAGATGCGCTCTGCTTGCACTCGTCTAGAAGCACATTAGAATTCCGCGCGAGAGGCGCGCGCCCTTCTGAATACACCTAATCTAACATACCTGAAAACATAGCTAGAGCAGCCCACCGGATTGGTTGAAGCGAGAGGGGAGCGCGCGTTTCCCGCGGAAACATCTGTCTGTTTTATGTATTACGATTTACGACTGTTGGAGGAACAAAAGTACATACATGTATATCTGTTTATTTAGTAAAACCATATTTAATAATTGATGATGATGTTATGATAACGATGATTATGATGATAATCATCGTATTGACCAGATGCAGCGTTATGTGTGTATTTAGTGTGTGAAAGTACTGTGTTTTGTTGGCTTTTGGGACAGATAAATGGTGTGTGCAGTCCAGCGTCAGCGTCGGCGTGTCCAGGTGGTGGAGGCGGCGGGGCCGTGCGAGGCGCTAGGCCCGATCCGCCGCGCCGCTCCCGATCGCAAGGTACCCGCAACAAACTGCACAAGTGTCTGTCCACAACCACCACAACCATCAACACATCAGCCACAGCCGCCGGCAGCGGCGGCGGCAGCTACCACCTCCTGGAGGACTCCTTTGGCGGCGGCGGCGGCCATCAATCATCATTCACCAACCACCACCATCTTCACCATCTTCATCATCATCAACACCACCAGACCATCCAACACATTCCCAACAGCGCCGGAGCCGCCCCCCAGTCGTCCGGTGGCGGCCCGCGACAGCAACTGCTCGTCGCCCGACAATATTCCAGTTTTGGTAGTACAGTCACCCCCGTATATATTTATATATAATTATATATTGTCTATTTCTCTATTCTATTCCTACTTCTTACTTTTCACTCTGTTTCGCTAAATTACTCAATCTTCGAACAGTTCAGTAGATTCGTTGCTTCCTTTATATCTCTCTCTATCTATTTCACTATATATATATATCTAGTAGATTCTTCTTATATAGACTTTTCAAAACATTGAATTAAGAATCAACTATTGCATATAAAAAAAATAATTATAATTTTTGAATTTTTTTTCAGTTTATTGAACTTACAATATGGAAACAATTCATGACGTACATACACTAATAGTCAACTGTATTGAACATTGCACGGAACATCAATGTCAGATTACATTTATTTAATATTGCAGTATTTTGATGATGATACCAACACTTAGTTATTATTAATTTTACAAAATTTAACCAATGACTTGCAATTATCTTTTTATGTCGTATTTTAATACTAATCCAAATATTATTAATTTATTATATGAAAATATACTCAAATCTATATTAAAAGACTTAGATTTGATTCTTAATATAAGTCATAAATAATATATTGAAATGAACAGCAATAATTAATGTGATGTTATATGCAATAGTTATTTTCTCTTTCGAGGCACACCCACGTAACTAATATAGAGTTTAGAAGTGATATCACAAATTAGCGATTCTTGATAGTATTTTTTGTTATTATTTTCACCCTTCAGTTGGCAAAGCTGAAAGCTCACAAAGTAGGTAAAACGTAATTGAGAAGATATCAATTAACCAGTAATTCGTATCAATTGAAGTCCAAGTCTTTAGACATTTTATTGCCCATCCTCGACCCCCATCGCATCTAATTCACACTTGACATCGTAACCATCGAAACTATATATATATATAGATATCCACCCTTGAGATTCATTGCGTATTTTTTCGCAAAATGAAATGAAAACACGTAAGACCGTTTAGATTTAGTAATTTATAGAGCGCACAGAGAGTTGTAAGTTTTCCGCACTGAAAGTAATGAATATTTGAGAACAAAAATATTGAAAAAAAAAAACGAACAGTAAAATAGATCCACAAATCCACCGTAGAACTTTTGATCTAGGCATGTATAATTGTTATATTTTGTTTTGTTTTCTTGTTTTTTTTTTTAAGGTGACATGTACTATCCAAAATTGTATGTACCTCATCTTGTTGTTTTAGTACTCTTCACGTTCGTTTTCCTATGGATTTTGTAGTAAACTCCCCCCATTAATGTTTGTAAAATATCTGTGTTCTCAACCACTTCACGAGACATCTCCATCTCTTTAGTTATTTATTGTTTGTTACATGCTTTTTTTCCTCTCTACTGAGAAAAACATGTATAAAATTCTTGCGTAGCTGAAGTGTTCTGACCACAGATACTATGACCTTTGTCGGGCCACTTTCAGAATCCCCCCATCTGTCTCTACATTCACCACTCTCCAATGCATCTATGTGTCACTCTATCATCTCTTCCCCCTTCATTGAACTGACATTGCTGTTATGAAACTCTATCTCTTTCTACATATATATTTGCGTATAAGTGTCTATATCGATGTGGAACGTGCCAAAAAAAAAGATATCACACCAAACCCCGAGCAACACGCATACACACATATGAAAAAACACACTTACTTTTCGTTTACAATTTCTTTTATTATTGGTTTTATTCACAAGAAGAAATTAACAAAAAAGAAAAACTTTAGTTTTCTTTTGTATTATTATTATTTTTAATTGTTTTCGTTCAGTCGAGTTTTCAGTTCAGTTCCATATTACACTAATTACTAACACTGACTTGTGCGAATGACAATAAGCAGATGTTGTTTTGATGAAAGAAACAGTGCGAGCTTTGCACGATTGGAACACTTGGATTGTTTAGAACCAAACTATACAATAATTGCACGTAGAACGTAATTTATAATAACGCAAATTTACTAACAACCACACGTATTTAGCTGCAAATTAATATATTTATATTTAAAAAAAAAACTTATTAACGTATAATTATTTTTTTAGTAATTATTATTCTTCTTACATTAATAGTATTTATTAACTAAATTAATATTAAAATTATCATTAAGGTTTATAAATCTAAAGGTTTATATTCGAAATTAATTGAAATTTATTATTAAGTCTTTAAATTCAGGAAATTTCTCAAAATTTTGCGCTTGTTTTTAAGCAATCCAAGTGCATTTCCACACGTAAAACATCGTGTCTTGCCAGCATGTGGTCTTGTGTAAAGGAAATGTGTTTTTTTTTGTTTCCGCAGCACTAAGCGTTGTGAATGTTGTTGTGTGCTTTAGTAATGCACTTTAGACTGCATGCAAATCTTTATTGGTCTCTCTCTATATATATGTAAATATCTCTATCTATCCATTTCTCTACATAATCCATGTATATAACTAATACATAACACGAAAAGTGTTATTTCAAGTGATACATCATTCAGATTCAGCTTCAACATTACATCCAAGTCCAATTCCCAGCATTTCAATACAGAAAAAAAAAAGATAATTCAAATTTGGACATCGCGAAGAGAGACATTAACATTCATAAAAGGGTAAAACTCTTAACTTTTCGACACTTGGTGAATAGTGAGTAATCTTAGTTAAAGTGTATATGTTGATATATACAAAATACTATATCAAAATATTTGAATTATAATATTATACATAAAAAATCATTACATATTTTGTGTTTATTGATATATTTGAATGAGTTATTATAACTGTTAATTAGATATATTATAAATACATTACGTTAGAATTGACGGAGGTGCCGAGTTCCCAATACTTTTCATATAATACAAAATAACTTAATATTAAAGTTAAAATTGTTTTTTTTTTATTTAAAGTAAATTAAGTAGAATTTAGTAACTGTAAACATAAAAGTTCTATTCACATTATCAAATATAATTAGATTAGCTAATAACAGTTATTAAATATTAAAAAATATTTTAAAATTAAAAATGTATCAATGAACACATAATATATTGCTAATTTTGTTATACATCTTTAGTACGAAAAGTTTAAGAATCGCAGGGTAAAGCTAAAACGAAGAAGGCTAGTTACTATATTTTGCTTGAATATCTTAAACTCGAAATGCAAATTCAGGTAATATCAGGAAAAAGTAAATGTTACGGAACTAGTTCTTACTATTAAAAGTTAAACTTTATATAGTTAACTTTCACTCTATGAGGGGCCATAAATTCCTAAATTTCTGGACAACGGAATCAGATAACTACGTCAACTGAATCAACATTGGATGGTCTTGCCTATCAAGATTCATCCTTTGACATACCAACCAACCTAAATGGTAATTTTCTATAAAATTATAATAATGCCTTGCTAGGCATGTTCAAAAGGTGGAACAATGCGTATACCACCACCCCTCAAAGAGTTAAAGACTTTACTATTTGTTTTGATGCAACGGATTTGGACTAGTTCCACACATATTTATCTGCCAATACCCGAATTAGTATATTCAGAGCAACAGATATATTTAAGTGAATCATCTTATGAAAATAATAATTATTGAAACATAAAGAAAAATGATAAAATGATAATCGTTTTTCTTTGTCGTTGAAATGATGCGCGAATAAGCTTTAATGCGCATGCGCTTGGTCCTATATGTTGTGTATATTTTTTGTTTTTGTTGTTGCATTTACGCGGTAAATTAAAAAAAAACGAATAATGTATAATAACGCAATGCGAAGGTTGGGTCGATGGGTTTGTCTAATAGTCGATTGTGTTTATGGGCCGCGTAGATAAGCTGGACAACTCGTTCTCGAGGTCGCGTTCGTCTTCGATCAGCTCATTGGAAAATATCACCGCAGAGGCGATCCAATGCCTGGTCTTCGCCGACTCTTATGCAAAGCGCACAGGTAATTAATGCATATGCCATTTTGGACAAATGTTTTAACATGCGGATGCTGTAGAACCCAACCACATGACGCCCACATTATGGGTAGGAACGAGCCTGGGTTCGGTGCTGACCGTGCTGATAGGACCTACGGATCCGGACAGTCGCTCCTCGCAGCCAGTGGTTGTCTCCCTCGTCGGTGTCACCATTTTCCGGTTGAAGGGTGCCATCTTGTCCATGTCCTTTATGGACTGCAACGGTTCACTCATTCCAAATAGCTACGAGTCGTGGAAGGATGATAACAAGGACCGCAGAGACAGCAAGTTGGGCACGCCTACCAAGTGCTCTAGCAGGATGAGCCCCACGTTGGGAGACAACCAGCGCGAGCCGCCCGGAGATCGTCAGTACGTAGTCATCACCAGCGAGAAACAGGCTAGAGTTGTTGGACTACCATCGCAGACGTGCGTCTACCGCCAGCAGATCGCCGACACCGACTTCGTCGTAAAAGCTGTGACGACATCGATGAAAGGTTCATTCGCAAATTAAACTTCTCTTACCACAATTTTATAACTTAATGTTTTGTTTTTATTCATCTGCAGATAGCATATGCTTGGCGTGTTACGTATCCAACGGCCACCTTCAGGTGTACAGCCTTCCTAGTCTAAGGCCACTGATCGACATAGATTTTCTTCCGCTTTCGGAACTAAGGTAGGACCCTGCGAACCGGATCTCCCCACTTCTTTCTTACTTTTTCTCTCTTTCTTGAACTGATTCACTGGATTTTCCATTAGCCACCATAGCTGCGCTGCACCCTTAAAATCTATCTTTCATTCCTCTTTACAACCTTCTCCCTTTAGGAAGGTCTACGGTTACTGCATGAACATTATTCATGTAACGATATCATCAGTATGGGACGGGTGGGATCGTGGGCGATCAAGAACAACATCCATCGATTTTTGTTGTTATTTTTTCTTTAATGGATCTTCTCTATTTTTGTTTTGTTTCATTCTTTTTTCTGAACTGATTTACACCTTGGTTGTGATAGTTTCCAGACACAATCAAACAAAGGCATAGTAGACCCAATGTTGTCCATTTGGGGCCAACAACTCATTGTTAACGAGGACACTAACCAGTAAGTTCCAGACGCGCCCATACCTCCACCAACACCACAACAACAACAAAAAATTAAAAAAACGAATATTTGTACGCATACATTACCAAAAACACGTCGCATACATCCATCCACACGCACACTGGAATATGTTTGTGGTGTCTTTAAAATTAAAAAAAAGTCAATAGTCGATGTGAAGCAATTATAATCAAATCAAATGTGTACATCAAGTAGCTACATTTTTTTGTCTTATTTATTTTGAGCGTAGATATTCGTCCCTATGTTTTTGTGAAGATCTATGTCTATTTTTTGCATATCATATTTTGTACATTCCATATATTTTTACTACCGTCGAATGTCAGGAAATGTGGTTCGACGTATCCGTCCGATTTCTTGACAACTCGCTCGATCAACATATATTTTTTTTAAATTGATGTGTTTAAAAACTTTTTGTGTGTTGTTGTTGGTACATAATTTGTTCAATGTCTGGATGAATTCGTTCTTTTTATATTTATATACACGGTGTCCCAGATATTCATCATTATTTTTTGTTACTAGAATTTGAATTATGTCCGCATCTATCTATACTAGAATGGATATTGCAATCTTAAAGAAAATCTAATGATGCGCACACACTATGTACCGTCATAAAGTTTCTATTGCACATTATGAAACTGGATACGTTACAATTCAATAAAATACTTGTTTTTAGAAGTAACATTACTTACGATGTTAATAAAAAAAACATTTCGACTCAAACTACATAGTATTGCGATCTATACTATAAAAATAGTGTGTACGTACCATAATTCACTAAATTCAATACTATTGCTAAATATATGTATTTAATCTACTTACAACAAATTTTACTGGATATCATATCGTCTGTGTTATATTCAGAAAGCAAATGATGAACAATATGATCTGGGACACCTTGTCCGATGATTATTGGTTTCGTTCATTAGAGAGCTTATTTTTTGCAGGTTAGATTGTGTTGTTGAAACAAAATGCAGTCTGCGCGAGTGTCACAAGTAGTAGAAACAAAAAACTATGTATCCCTTTGTGTAATTTCTTCGCACGTACTATTTTTCTTCACAAACTTTAAATTTTTTACACGTGCACCATATTTCGTTTATCTTTCGATGATTCGCATATAAAAAAAATCAAAATATAATTAATGTGCATAAATAAATTACCCTGTATATAAAATATGTTGATGAATAAGAGAAGAGCACACCTACAAACTGCATTTTTATGTGACACTACTTTTAGATGCATGCTTTTGATTACAATACATTTTGTTTTCATTTATAGGTTTATTTGAGCTTCGTGTTTCTGCATGTAAATTATTCGATTGGTTTTATATATTTGTATTTTATTTGATTTTGTTCTATTTATTTATTTATTCATGTTTTGTCGTTTTTTTATTTATAAGCTTCGCAAAATACGAGAGACGAAACGAGATCGCCTCCGTCGCTGACCGTTCTCTCATTGTGACGACGTTAATTCGCGTGATTGATTGCCTGAGTCTGTTTCTAGGATCTCGAAGACCTTCTGCTTCAGTAACCGAGGCCATGGATTATACCTCTGTTCACCGTCGGAACTTCAAAAGTTCACACTCTGCGCTGATTTTTGGTAAGTTTATTGTAATTGCAATTCTGATACTTTAATATTAAGACTAAACGAATGATGTTATAAGTCATTCGAATTATTATAATATTGCATGATTTTAATGATGAAGTTTTTCTTATCTTATTCAAAATTATTGAGTATTGAGAAATCGGCGAGAAATATTCAAATTTCCAAAAAAACACAATTTTTGTACATGTTCAGAAAGTTCTCAAACAAACGTTGGAACAGTGACGCTTTACCGCATAGTCGCAGGACAAAGGGGCCTCGAAATTGGCAAAAAAGCAACGATTTTGTTAGTAGGGGCCTCCATCAAGTTGCGCACAGAGCCTCACAAAGTCATGATGCATGATGTATAACCTTGTTTTGTATAACAAATTGATATTAGATCATACCATGTTAGATTAGTATCAAGTATGTTTATAAAATGTCTGTAGACATAAATATATGAGTGGATGCGCCAGGTAACGTTTTTATTATGTTTGCAGCACTAACATGAATGTAATGTTGGGCGAGATTTTTATACCGCTGGACATGCCTGAACCACCGAAGGAGAGCTTCTTTAGAGGCTTATTCGGAGGCGGTGTGAGGTCCTTGGACCGCGAGGAACTTTGTAAGTTTGCTTAGCATCGACGATGGCACAAATTTGTCTGATGGTTTTATCTTGCGTTTCAGTTGGCGAGAACAGCGGGAAGGCAAGCAAGCATGTGGCAAAACACATCCCCGGTGCCCTGCAGGAGATGAACTCACGCGTGGCCAGCTCCTCCAACGAGATCTCCAGGGCTCACAAATTGATGCTCGAGCGCGGAGAGAAGCTGGGCAAACTAGAGGATAGCTCGGAAAGGATGCGCAACGAGGCAGAGAACTTCGCCGGAACCGCGCACGATCTGATGCTCAAATACAAAGACAAGAAATGGTACCAGCTGTAACCTGTACCATGCGGAGCAAACGAAAACAAACCGGCAAATGTGTACAGTCTTTTATTAGTAAGTCGCAATCTTTGAGGCTAGTGTATTGAATACAATTAACGTATCAATAAGAATATAAATATATGTAATAATAATATAGTCAATAATTGAATAATAAGGCGAATAAAATTGGACGATGAGCGGAAATTCGCGTCTTTTTCGAGGGTTGTAATAAATGTTTTTAAAAGCATGAAGGATCGGGGCGCGCATCGAGTTTAATTAATTAGCAATAATATAATGATGATGGAGCAAGAACGGAAGAGGATGGATGGGCGCGCTCCATCCCGGGTCTATCTTAGATTGATATATTAAGTACTTAAACACGAATTGTGATATATATTAAAATAACAGAGAAGAAGCAGAAAGGTTCGAAAGAAACGGGATAAATGTTGCGTAAATTTTCTGGCCTGACAGCCGAAACAAATAAACAACAAAACTAGAAACAATATATATATACTTTATATATTATAAGAGTCTTTGCACATGGTTTTCGCACTAAGTATGAATGATTTATAAAGAGGATAATCCGAGGCGCCACGTCGCTCTCTTCTATATAAATAATGTACATGTAAAACTTTTTGACTCGAGTACGCGTAGGTTTTTATCGGACAAAATATACATATATATATATTAAAAAAAAATAAACAAAAAAGGAACAAAAAAAAGTATAGAAAGTAGAAGACTTTGCGCTTGGTGCATGAAGCATTTAACCCGATCGTGGGTTCGGTAAATATTGTTATAGTTTGCGAGCGATAATAAATATAAGATGTAGTTGATGATAATCCCTCTTAGCGAAGAACTAAAGAATCCTGGACCACTAAAACCACATATCGCGCTTGCATCGTTATGGCTTTTGCCCGAATTTGCAAGAAGGGTGAGGCCGACGAAAGGGCAAGATCCATCTACTCTTCTCGAGCAGTCTCCGCACCAAATCATCCCCAAGACGAAGACTATTTTTCTATAGTTGCATAATCCACCACCACCCATTTCGCGCACCATCCACCAGCCCAATTGATTTCGAAGGACAATAAACTTCCCTTGCAACTATAAGACTTCTAAAAGAAGTCGATATCTATCGTTAACGCCACTAGCTCTCATCCCTAATCCGCACCCCCCAAATCACAGCTTAAGCGGTCTTCCCCCTCATCGCGAAGGAATAAATCATTAAAAAAAAATATAATGCCAAACGTACCTAAAAAAAATAACAAAAAAAAACGATTCCTTCTACTTTTTTAAATTTCATATGTTTATCTTAGCGGGTAGCGCTTAATATTATATACAAATATTATATATATTATATGACTGTTACCATAGTGACAAAGAAAAAACAAAAGCAACCTACGGTTAGTGATATGTACTATATGTATTTTCTCTCTCTATCTATCTCTGTATCATCTATCTCTATTTATTTACGTGGAACAGAAAACAAATCGGCTTCGAGCTTTGACGTTATTTGTTGAGATCTATGTGCGATCTTCGTTCTTTGCGGGCCTACACTTTTAGACACGGCCCACTTGCGTTGTAGCAAAATAAAAAAATAACAAAAATAGACAAAAAAAAAATCACTAGTAATCAATGAATCGGAGACGTGTTTTTATATAAGGGAGGCGGGAACAAAAAGCATTGTTAAACTTCTTGTAACAAGAAAAAAAACTACAAAAATATCCGAGCTCTTTCATTTCTGTCCTTTGATTGATCCATTGTTCGATTGTGAAGGCCGTCTCAATTCACACGGAAATGAAAACCGAATCATCTTCGAACTTTGCGTCGAATTGAGTCGGCTACCGTATGATTTTGTTGTCCGTTGAAACAAGAATAAACAACAAAAATAATCAGGTGAACACTCGTGCGTTTATAAAGAAACAAGAATAAAACCCTGCACGGTGTGGATCGCCTTGCGACTAAAGAAATAAATGGTTTAAATAACATTTATAATATCTATAGGAAAACAGCCTATGTAAATAATAATGATTATTGAATTATTATTACCATAACGTATAAGAATTACAGACAAACAAATATAATATATATATTAAATTTAAATATTAGAGTCATATGATTAATAATATTATTTTTAAGAATTGTTGAATTACGTAAGCTGGTCACTATTTTCACTACTAGTTGAATTACATTATATTATTACTATATTTTTTGTATCCTATTAATTTTAAGACTTCGGCAGTCTCACATCTACGTCATTATTTCTCAACTTTATTTTCCCCCCTAATTGTTACCAATGCTATTGATGGTGAAACAAAAAAAATAAACATAACAGAAAAAAAAAAGATATATATATATTATATATTTATCCATGTATATACATATAGAGGTTGTGTAATACAAAAAAAAAATAATAATATACAAACAAAAAAAAACTTGGAATACTTACAAACAAAATATAACGTGTATATACATGAATAGTTATTATTATTGTTCTATTAATAAAGGATGAATTGTTTTCGCTTTTTATTTTTTTATTCTTGAACTCCCTTTACTATACATTTCTTAAGTTTTATTTTCAATTACATTTAATATCTAATGTAAGCAGGTAAGTCGAGACGTAACATTTTATTATCTACTGCTGGGTTTCCCAAAGTTTCCTTAAATGGAACACTTCGTAAATTCTGAAATTTTCACGGAACTCCTTGTATATTTTATAGGATAGGTAAAAACATATAATCAATACAATTAAAAAAAAAATGAGAAAAAACATTAATTAGTTATTTCGTAATTATTTCGTTCCAAGTGTTCACGGAACACCTATAAACTTTTTGGGAAATGTATAGGTTGTAATTACGAGAGCAGTCCCATAATTACCCGACCTCACTTATAAATGGTGATTTTTTAAAAAAAAAAATACTACTCTGATCATAAGCTTAAGTTTGAAGACGCTACGTTGTGTAGTGAATTTGTAAACATGGAAAAAATTGGTCATCATTATGTGATACAGTAGTTTCATTTAAAAGGTCTCAATCCAACCAATATCAAAGCCGAGCAAGATTCTACTCTGGGGAGGTTGCAACAAAAAAATATTGGGTGACAGAGTTTAAACGAGCTGCTGAGACGAACATCGCAGTGGTCGAACAAATGAGGTAACCACGCCAGAAATGGTGAAGAAAATCAACAAACCAATTTATATGAATCGTTTCGCTCTGTTTTGCAGGAATCCTAGTTCGGGTAGCCTGGTGCTGTCAGATGGGGTCGCTGGACTGGACGAAGACGGCTCTGGATAGGCCGAAGAAAACCAAACCTCAAGAGCAGGAGACGAAGGCGCCGGGACGCATTGAGGGCAACAGAGTCAACAGCGACCATCTGATCTATTAGCTGATCAAGAACACCAATCTGAAGTAGGCGGCTGACGACGATTCGGCTGAATGTAATGATATACTACCACTCACGCCGGCACGCTCCTCTTATTTTGTTATATTTTCAGCTTCCGGTTTGCAGCTGTTCATCGCGAAGGACGACACCGCGGCTCTGGGTAGCCACGAGCATAAGTCTCAAATATCTACAGGAGTTTTCAAGCAGATGATCGTGGAGGATAGCCCTCCTAGTTATTGTTACCGTGTGAGATCTGCAAAAGAAGATACATTTGTTTCAAAACAAAATCTTCATTTATTCTATACATAAAATTATTATCGTTATTACATTTACAACAAGAACTACTGCTGCTGCTGCTATTACTATTATTATATTATAAATATTTGAATCTTTCTCTATGCAATACCTCATTCTTTATCTCTCCTGTTTTCATTCATTTCCTTCTTTTCTCTTCGAAATAATACAAACTTTAGCAAATAGTTTTTGCCAATTATTGTTTGTGATACAGAGATGTCTAGTATCAATAGTAATAGTCGAATGAAGTAAGAAAAATTATCAAGCGGAGGATTAAGAATAAAAATGTATGAAAAAAAACTAATTATCGAGATCCTCGATACATCATCATACATTGTATTGCCGTTAACATTACTAATTATTATAAATTAAATTATTTTCTATGTTTGTTTAGTTTTCTTCTTTATTTATTTTTCTGGGCGGGATATATTAACAATGTATAAATAAACATTTTATTTTAAATAAAGAGTTTGAACAAGAGTATATGTTCTACCTTTTTATTATATCAAAACTTGTAAATATTACCATTACGCAACTGACTATATAACAATTGTTAAGATCCGACCTGTTTTTAGTTTTTAAGCAATAACTCCTAAGTTATGAAACTTTTTTTTCATATTTTATTGCATTTTCCTAACTGGCAGTGTTGCGAAGTTTTCACGTGTTTTTTGTGCCTCTCTTACGCAACTTTTTATGAAACAAAAGTTCCGTAATGTTTTTTAAGTAACACGGAAAAGACGTTTTTTCCGATTTTTTTTTCAGTTTTTCGTGAATTTCCAACGAGCCTATTGGCATCTTCGTGCTGTTTCCGCCTGTTACGAGCTGTTTAAATTGGAAAAAAAAGTGAATAGGATTTTCTTAAAAATATTTACATGGGTTTTAAATATATTTACTTGGGTAAATTTTGGTTTATTTTTTCTGCATAAAACGCATCATATTTAAATGGGGAAAAAATGTTTCGAGTTACAAGTAAGATTCTGGACCGAATTTTGCTTGTTTTGCGAGGTTTTCCACTGCTTTAGATAACCCAACAATGCCGAGTAGGACGTCAGAACTCGTGACAGGGGGTCCTCTCCCATGTAGCACATACCAAAATGCAGAGTGCAAAAAGCAGCAAATCTATAGTGTGACGGAAAGTACACAGGAGAACCATAAATACACGGTTGGGAGATATTCCGATAAATATGACTCAATAAATCTACATCCTACAATCAACAATAAATTGATAAACCGATTGGTTTGTACTCCTAAAAAAAACTAGACTAAAATTTATAAAAATAAATATACAATGTTTACTTTACGGAGGTGTTCTCTGGTCACAAACTCTATCTGTACATGAGGGTGTAGACATAAACAATGTAGACAATTCTATATGGATAAAAAAACAATGCATAAAGTTCTAAATTCTAAAGCTGCTAGTGAATAGATAAAAGATACATCTAGAATTATTGGATGCAAAAAAGGATTAAAAGAGACCTACCTGAAGAAGGGATTCGACGTAAATAATAAACAAGTCAAATAAGTGTCCTTAATTATATTATTAATCATTTATACATCTAAACTGAATAATATTTACAGATCGAACTTAAACATTAACTGGCTCTAATATAAATATATTCACCTTCCGAACTTCTTTACAAAAATCACATACAATACCTCGAAGTTACACACCTCTACATCATCAGCTTCATCTTCGTTTCATCAAATCAAATCATCATAGTATGTTTATATATATTTATGTGTGTAAATAAAAAATGAAAAAAAAAGGATAATCGAGTAAAAACTAAATTACACAAAAGACACTTAATTAGTTACATTAAAAAATAGTAATAATAATTATAATAATAAACAACCTGACTATTTTCTTCAACAAATTCCATAACTTCTGCGATAAGGACAAATAATAATAATAATAATTTATAAGTGTATATAATAAACTAGGCAATCCGAACGAAAGGGAAACAATAATAAAACGCAAATGCCAGCTTACGTATCGACTGAAAGAAAACACGTGGAAAAGTTTAAATTATAATGTATGTATATTCTATATTCTTCGTCAGCAGCTCTCGCACGACAAAACCGGAGGGAAAACAGAGATTTGCGTTATTCTTATTATCTTCTTCGTCTTCTTTCTCTTTACCTATTGCATAATTACAAGTTATACACATCGTACACATTCAAACAATCAGCTGCCACATACATTTAAAAAAAATGAGATAATTGAATGCTTTAATGTTAAACTTTGTTATTTTCAAATGGGTGCAAAACTCCCTGAAACATTCTTCTCCTTTTTTTTGGCAAACCACAATTAAAACAGGATCGTTTTTTAAAAAAAGTATGATTATAAAAGTAATAATGTGCTGCTGTCAACAGTATTATCCCAAGTGGGTGAAAATAGGGGCTCAACAATCGTCTTCGAATAGAATGTTCGGTAATAGCAGAAACAACTACAATCGCGCTGCGTCGCATTCTTCTACTCATTTCTTTATTTTCAAACTTGAAATTTCAATAGTTGTTTTCGTTTCCCTGCGAAACGCTTGATTCCAATAATCTTGTCTTTCTAACCATTCCTTGCTTACTTGACGCACGTAAAAATAATTAATTATTTAAACACACAAAAATAATAATAGTATATAATAATAAGAGGAGAAAAAAAAATGTAAACAGTCTAACACATATCACCAACCAATATAATAAATTAGTGAGAGATCACAGATTCATATTATATAAAAACATACTTCTATATAAATATATAGGGTGTGTACTTTTTTTAATATATATATATTTATATATGTCGTATATAACCCCCTATATACATCTTCAACATCATCATTATAATCAAACAAATCTACCGAAAATCATTATCAATCAGCCCTATTCAACCCTCTTGTTGTTTTAGTTTGTCACCGTAAAAAAAAGCAGCGCATCTTCTCCCAACCGAAAAACCGTCCGCTTTCAATTGAAAAGAGAAAAAAAAGTAACATGGAATGAATTTGTTATCTTATTAATAGTAAATTAGGCGATCGCCTTCGAAACGAAAAAAATATTATTTAAAATAATAATAATAACGATTACAGTTGTTCGTAGCGAAAAAAAACGTGACGTGTAAGAACGCCTCCGAACGAGGATTTGAAGAATTATTACATGTTCAGGCACTAAGATACAACTTTTTTTTTCTTTGTAAAATTCCACAAATCTTTTTCTTTTCTCCATTAAAGATACAAGTAGACGAAAACAATTTCCACCCCATCCGCAGACGCGTGTGTGTTTGTGTGTGTGTGTGGTTATCATTACTATATTTATAATATATATACTTTTTTAGATTTTTTTTTTGTAGTTGCTGTTTTTACTTAAAGGAAGGTTGATTGGGAGACATTTAAGGTGAACCAATTTACCAGTCTTAACCATCTTCTTTGGGTGGCGTAAACCAACCTGAAATATGAGAAACAAAATTATTTACTTTTTTCTCGGAAATTAAGCAGTGTTACGTACCATTCTTCTCGTGTATCTGCACTAGAGACTTGAAGCTCTGCTGGGCCCTGGCCAGACTGTATTGTCCCTGGGAACATACCTTAGGCGCTCCAAATTGTATCCTCGCCTTGCCTTTGACCAAAGTCGCAGAGATCTGCATAATCACAGCTTCTACTGTATACGCACTCGACCAACCCTGCTTAGTCAGCAACTCCATGCAGATCGCACCACCCACCAAAACGTAACCACCTGAAAGATCGATTATATCATTAACGCTGCACTAGCAGAGAACAATCAAATGTTGATGCTTAACATCACGGAAAGGTCATTGAAAACCTAACCATGTATATTTTATATATACGGACATCGATATTATTCGAGAATTTAAACGAGAACGCACTGCAGCATCAAATCAAAACTCAATGTGAAAAACCAAAATTATTAACTAGTTTTACAACTGAATCAGATTCATGTATCCATTAACTACAACAAGTTCATTATATTCATAATTAATCATGTTGTTTGTTCTTACATTCTAATTGGAAAATATCAGCCCTAAACATTCATCGATGTCATAAGAATTTAATGTTAACGTCAAAGGTACACAGCTGGCTGTACATCAATTTGGCATGACGTTAAGTTCATATGTTGTTTGGTTTTCGTAGTGCATTAATTAACACGTATATGTACCTATACGAAAACAAAATATCAAATAAAGAATGATAAACTAACCGAGTCGATGACAATCATCTTGCAAGCGAAGTGATCGAAGACAATTTGGATAGCGACGAAGAGATTCCGCCACCTAAAGTTTTAACAATAAAAACATTTTCGATGGTGTCAGTTAAACGAAATCAATTGACATTTTTCAAGCAAAATAACTTGGACAAATTTGAAATTAATCTTTGTAATTAGAAGTTGAGTATATAGATACAAAATATTTGAATTAAATAATATTAGATCATCTTCACGAATGAGCGAATATACGAAGAAAGTCAATAAAAATAATACACCTAAACAATTGTTCTTAAGTTTACTTAAATTAAACTTAATATAAAACTATCAGAGATAAGATTATAAAATATTTCAAATGAAGACATTTGAAATTCGAGGATAAACCGGAAAGTTTTTAGAACAAAACAAAAAAAAACTAAATAAATTTTATTAGTCCAAACACGAAGATTATAGAAAAGTCAGTATTTTATGAAAATTTATTTTGGTTTTTCAGGTTCAGAAACGATAAAAAAAATAAAGGTAAAATCGAAAGATGATAGAAGTACCTTAATTTTCAAAAGAGTTTGGGTTTTTCGTTATATTGACCTGTTGATGTGTTTGTCTAATTTTCAAACAGTTGATGAACTTTTTGTCTTTTCAACCAAAAAATATATAATCTGTAACCTTCCCTCATTGGATTCTATATAGCTGTCGACTGTCTTGACGACAAATCACAATTAAACTATTTAAACTATTTATAAATTATCACTCGAACTTCTTCGATTATCAACAATGACCATTTTGGGAACCGAAATGACACCATTCCGTTGTTTCCTAATGGTTTCTTCATGGAAGGACTATCTGAAAATAGTGCATCATGTATACTTCTAGAACTGGTTTTAAAATTGACAACTATTGCCTGTTACAATTTGAAAAAATATGTATGACGTACATATGCATGGTTTGTTCCAAAAAAAAACAGTCTGATCTGTCCTCGTATATAATTGTATTCTATTGTACGTACTAAAAGAACTTCAATAATGTATATGAGATGAATACATCTTTAAATAAAGCAGATAGTGTTGTGAACGTTAAAATTCTTTTGAGTTAAAACTATGAATGTAATCGATAAATATAGAATTACCTGAGATTATTGGATGAACGACACGTACGAAGGGCGGTTCAAACGGATAAGTATCTTTAAAGAGCATATTTAATAGGATGGCATCTTTTCCCTCCTTTTCTTTCAATAATGCCAGATCGTGGCTGAGTGGACTATCTGGATCGACGGACATGAGACGCACGTTCCATTCGTAAAGCGACTCATTGACCAATTCGATCTCGTACATCTTGCTCTTGAAAGATTCAGAGCGGAAGATGTCGCGCAGCTCCTTCATCAGGCGATCTGTGGCTTGTACGGATCCCGACACTGAGCCCTTGAGGTAGTCCTTTCGCTGATTTTGCCTGAGTCTCTCCAGAGTAGCCAAATGCTCGACGCCCATCTCCTCGTTCTTGGCCCTACCACCATCGTCCATTTCCATTCCAAGGTCCTCTTCGGCATCGCTGTCATCAGCTTCAGCATCCGAATCAGCCATTTCCGCGTCCTGTTCGCTATCTAAGCCTTCATCCTCCATCTGTTCCATCCCACTACTAAGTCTAAACAAAAAGAGAAAAACAACAATTAAATATTGCCCAACAAAATTACCTAACATTTTACATAACATGGAGCATTTTAAATAAATACCGAGAACACACATTTTCGTTACTGATGCGGTGCTGTTAAGAAACGTTTCATACTTTGTGCTGAGCCCAAAACATTCGAGCAGCCAATGATAAATAATAAAACGAGTCATTGACTCGGCCATCGAATATTTAACGTTATCTCTCATTCCGTTCGATTCCTATGCGTTCAGAGAGCGAGGTCAGAGTGGTCTCAGTTCAATTAGCCGATACATCAAAGGAATTGTTTCGTGCAATTACATTCATTCATTCGATTCATATTTTATTTTCATACGCCCAGTCAAAATTGCTACCAATTTATTCCTTTTTTTCAAATACATTTACCCCATCTAAACCAAATATGTTTCAAACTAATTCTAGTTTCCTAAACACAGGTACATATAAGAATGTTACTGTGAAAATACCTTACTAACTTGTGATCTAACCATATCAACTTTTATCTTCGAATCTAATTACATTAACTATTCGAATACGGCATTCAAAATTATATACGATTGTACAATTCAATATACTTCACATAACTTACATCAAATTTGACTTTTGATTGAAACATACCAACTTAGATCAACAATTTTAAACTTGATTCTATAATATAAATAATTGTTTTATCTTATCGACGACTTGATAAATTATTTTTTTCTTGTTCTGTTCTGTTCGCAGTTAATTTCATATTACCTAACATTGTTATCGAAACTTGCATTGAAATAAAATGCATTTTCTTTAATTGGAAAACCCACTCTTTGCAAATTTGAATACGTGATTCAATAATAATACTCATGGATTGTGCAGTGGAGTCGTCGATTTCACAATACGCACGTCTCACTCTCTCCTGCCCCCACCCTATTGACATTATTAATTGCGTATGCTAAATAAAGATTCTGCTTTCAGCATATTTCTGCAGTTCCAATTCAATTGCACAAGCAAAACAAACAATATCCAACATCTAATAAATACAGTATGAAACTCCTACTAAATAAATGTAATGTAAATGCATGTATCTATTTTTAATTATAGACCAAAAACTGCTGCTATAGACCCAAATTAATACATTTGAAAAAATATTTTTAATGTTATTACTGTGTTAATTAAACTCATTGTTTCTTGTAAATATTTATCAAACTTTTATCATTGTATGAACTAAACAAGTACACACAAATATTTACCTTCGTTTAATTTAATTAAAAATCGTATCTTTCACAACTACCATTGTTGCTCTGCATATTTAATTTACTTCTACAAAGTACAATTATAATTATATACAGTTATTAAAATTAATGCATAAATCAATATATTTTTCTATTGAGTTGCTCAATTGCCCTTCCAGTTTTATAACTGATTTACATCCATCTGCACAAAATAAGTGTTGTGTTTTTTTTTTTAAATATTTATTTTGTTGTTGTTGATGAACATTCCTTCGACATGTCTCAACGATAAAGTTGAGTAGTTCGAAACTTTCCTGTTTGCACGCACAATAAAAACGACTATTAAAGTTACAATTACTAGAGGTATTAAAATAAATTGCATTTAATTTAAATGGTTTTCCTTCAATAGGTGACCTTCTGCAACATAATATCTTTACTTTTATGTTGACATAAAAGATGACGTTGTAATGAAAATAATTTATTTAAATTGTAAACCATCTACAATTGTATACTTTTATATATCTTCATATCAAAACTAAATAGTTTATATTATACTACTTTTAATATAAAAAATCTATGACATAAAAAGTTTATAAAAACGAATTATCGATACGCTATACTTTTCAATTTATCTCATAAAATTGTCCAAATAATTTCAGAAAGTACAAGTAACTGCAAAATAAACTTACTGTACACATTACTTGACGATTAAGTTAATTTGCGGTTCTAATAAATCTTTGTTTACCTTTGGAAAAGATTTATTAGGTGAAGTAAAAAGTTCTGAGCGTTTTCGTTAGATTGCTTTTGTGAGCTATATCTCACGATGTATACTTTGTATCTTGTCCTACTATATTGCGACTTAAATGCTTTGACAGTTTTGTGTTTAGTGAATCCAGTTGTGTTATCCAAATATGAGATAAAAAAAAAGAAAATTCGATACATTCTTCAGTACCACTACGACCAAGAGGAAAAGCAGAGCAAGCGGTCAAAAAAATGTGTTGTTTATAAACCCAATACAGTATACAACAGTAAAACGTTGGTTCCGACGCTTCCGTTCTGGTAATATGGACGTCGAAGATGAGACACTTTCAGGTAGACCAATCGTCGTAAATGTTGATAAAATCATGGAAATTGTCGAGTCGGCATGCGAGCACTTATTCCATTGCCCAGAAACTGAAGATTAGCTAGAAAACCGTTAGGAACCATTTGCATAAGGCTGGTCTCGATGTACTTTTTACTTCACCCAATATTTTAATTGCTCGATAGAAACTTTGCTATAAATTGAAGTGAATTACATGATTTTAATTTACATAATTTACCGTTAATACATTTAATAAAATATTAATTTTTCGACTGATGTGAATGATGTTGCTGTAATTTGATTGATATACCCCAATCATAAATCATCCATACTTCGCATTACGGCCTAGATACGTGCCGAAATATTTTGGGCCGTAAATTGAAAAAGTGCCACAATTAAAAAAATACCGTATAAAGAGCGGCCCTATATTTTTTATACAATTATTTAAAAAATCGTACTGCGTAGAGACATAAAATAAGGTAGTGCAAGTAAAGTGGTCGATAGAAGTGTTTGTATTTATTGTCGTGACAGAAACGACATTGTCGCCCTCTATATTCCTTTTGGAAAACATTAATTTACATGTCATTTTTAATAACTCACCAATTAGAAGTGGATCGAAATATTGTTGGTTTCAATTTAGTATTTGATTTGTGTAACAACTATGCAATCGTTAAGTAGGAAACTAAGTACAAGCATTAATATTTCTGTCTAAAATTCATTGTCACCTTTAAATCTTAATCTGTTTTTCGCTTATAGATAGGATGTCAAAATCGCAAAAACTGACAAACACATCAATTAAGTTAAATGTAGGTTAAACTGTTATGAAATACAGCAATTGCAACGAAAACAAGAAACCAATAATGCAGTATGAACATTGAATGCAGCTCGTAATAAAGTTTCGTGTACTGTTTCAACCACTACACATCGCATTAGTCATAACGGGTGACTTCGCAGATAATTAATCAAGTGTAAGCGTTTTGTACAACAAAAAAAGTATATATAACAGACGTTGATTGCATTTGGTCTCAAAAAAATATAATGCACGACATTCAACTTAAACTTTGTAGCAAACTGTTAAGTCCCAAAGATAAGATATTAAAAAAATCAAGCGATTTCTTGGTAAAGGAGCTTACGCATGAACGCAACTAACAATAGACCGAACGATCGTCATTTTCGTATTTATGGCCCAGTTCGGACATGTTTTCGTTTAACGACATGAACATACTTCAAATGTTTTATAGGTGACTTTGATTGGCAATGAAAATCAACGTCATTTGGACAGGCAACAAAAAAAATACTGTCATAGGTAATTGCTCCGGTTCTTGCAACGTAATTTCAAAGGTTATCAGTAAAAACTTAAATTTGCACTATTATCATCAACCCTGGTTAATATTAAAGTTTCATTTACATTATTTTGAAAATATTATGCGTTCCAAATGTTCTGGATTAAAATTACAACTTATGTTTTGTTCATAAAGCGTAAAAAGTATTAATCATTTTAAGTAAGTATTTGGGATATTGGGTTTTGAAAATTTCATCGACCGGCGAAATTTTGTGACCGCAATTCGTTTGCCAACTTTTAAGTTTGCCAAATAGGCATATTTAAAAAAAAAGTAATAATAATAAAACTGTATGCATGTCGCATAAAATAATATAATCCAGAATACGAATATAGTTGATTTGCAAAATATTCTCTGAGTTAACTTACCAATGGAAAAGCATATTTAAAGTTGTCTTACAATTGCCATGTATGTAGCATTGATGTAAACTAGTTTATTCCTAGTATTAGTTTGTTGTAATAAAACTTATGAATATAAGATATGCTGTGAATACTGTTTACGGTCGTCGCCCACCAAAGCAGTCATGTTACCACCAGCAATCGTCTCTGATTTCTCCATAGCAACCCATATAACAAACTAATCGGATGACCCATCCGGCGTTGCTCCGACATTTTACTGTTACAATTTTTACTATCCACCGGTTTTCCGTCAAGACCCATAAACTAATCGAAAAGCAAACTCTAATGTAGGTTAAACAATATATTAGCATTAAATATGTTAAGTCATGATAGGAAGACTTTGAAGGAGTTCACTTTTTGTTTTATTATTATTGTATGGAAATGTTAAATTTTGTTTTCTTTATATTGTTGCAATAAATATTATTATTTTATTATAACAAGTCAACAGCGCACTACTTCACAAGTCATAAAAAATACGTCACAGTTTACAAAAAAGTATGACACAGTTGATATGAATGACTTAACGATATCAAATTTACATTTGTTACTCTTTAAGATGACAGCTAGAATTACATTTGTAATTTTACATTTGTACACGACATTATAAATTATTCAAAAATTTGTAGTCAAGTTTCTTTTTGAGCTGTTTATTTTTATCAGGTTTTAAAGTCCTCGATTAGTACGGTTTTAAATTGTAATTACCCGCACTATGAGAAGTATTTGTTTTATCTATAATAAAATAATAATTTTTGGGTGGAAAAATTTAGGTCGATAGCCCTTTGGTTTCATTGTAACTAATAAATATTATTATTATTAATCATTTTTGCTCAATTGGAGTTTGAAAGTTTAAATTTATGAAGGACGGAGACAAACTCTATTATCTATGATTTTGGAAAAATAATGAAGATCATAAATATTGTTATTTACAAATAGCTGATTAAGTTATACGTTTTTTTACGTATAAAGCAAACGTAATGTAAGGCTGAACCAAATTTATGTAATAATTACACAAGGTTTTGTATTCTAAAATCATTGTACCGAAACATAATGGAACAGCTGTTTACTCTGTGTTTCTAGTACGTTGAGGTCGTTAGAGATATTGTCAATATATGAGTAGATAAAAAATAAACTAATCTACACTCGAATTTGGAGGTTATTTGACTTATAATAAAAAATATACCACAAATATTAGATTTACCAAACTAGCCAAATTATAGTATAGAAAAATCACAATAATTTTGATTTTCTTTGTTTTATTATTATTATTATTATCGAAATAATTTCATTCTACAGTCAACGTTAGATTTATGGTTAACATTATAATAATTTATAGCATATACATATCCAGTTTTGTGCTAGATACATAATGAAAATAGATTATGTTATTCATGATAATATCTAAATTATGAAATTATTGTAAATTAAATTAAAATTTACTTGGATTATTACAATTATATGTCAACTACTTCTTATTACAAACGCAACAATTTGTGTACAGGTATTCCCCGACTTACGAACAAAATTCTAAAAGCTCTAACTTGTTAAAAGGAAATAAATATATATAGTGATAAAAAAATGTACTATCTGTTTTGTTGCATTTGTTTCTTTTATCTTTTTTTTATTAAACAATTGTGATGTCTAGATTGGAAAGTATTTGTAAATAAGTATTTTGTTTATTTTAATCTACTTTTTCAAATGTATGCAGTCAGTAATACGAAATTTAACATATATAAAAGTAAAAATCATGATAAAGTGTGGTTAAATAAATAAATTTTGATTTTTTTTTTTAATTCCCCCGACTTACAAACAAATTCGACTTACCAACAACCCTTTGGAACGGAACTAGTTCCTAAATCGGGGGATACCTGTATTTGAATATATTATGTTATAGAATAGAATTATGTAAAATACTAGATGAGACTCGAAAATAATCTGAAGGGTTTGATGTTAAATATACATAATAAAATATTTTTATTTTAAAAAAATTGGACTTTGCATGAAACGCTCAAAATAAAACTAGCAAAAAGCATAGAGACTAAAAACAGAACTATAAATATTGATATTTACTGCTATTTTCTAGAATAAAGTTTGTTATTGTTATTTAATTTATAAAAGAATGTATGATTATTTCAAGAAAGCGTTTAAATTAATCATAAATATAAATTGGACTTCCTACATATAGATGCAAAACAAGTTATCAGAATAGAACTACAGACAATTCACAATTTACGACTCTTTTTTCTTTATTAAAAAAATCATTACTTCTTATATAAATTACATACATTATTTCTTGTAAATTAATTATTTAATTGTTTCTGACAGTTATTAAACTATCAATGAAACAAACAAAAAATATTATTTAACTATCTACATCAGGGATTTCCAACCTTTTAAACATTGCGGCACACTTTCTAGAAACCTAATTTATAAGTATGAAGTGGGCATCCCAGTCCAGAATATTTTAAAAATCTACAGTAATTTTCCGTAATTGAAACAGTATTTTCTAATTATAATTAATAAGAATTTGTTCACACTTGTGGTGAAAATAAAATGTATAATATATAGTTACTTGCGTAAGTATAAGATATCTTGGTAAGTTGCACACATATACCAGTACGTATTACTTGACAAGCGTCACGTAGCTTTCATTCAGATCTATAAACAATTGAAAAGAGTAGGTATAAACAACATGATCGCAACCTGAATGTCATTCAACTATTTTAGGAATCTGATTACAATCGTTTAGAAAACTACTTCAAAAATATATATAATTTGGTAATATATATTATATGGTTGACTATAAAAACGCATGACAATTGCGGTCGTGTCATTCCGTGAAACGAGTAATTACGTAATAATTATTGTTGCTCGATAATGAATGTTTGCCGCATTAAAAGTACTCATTAGAGAATGAACAAAACGCATATGATTGGATGAATTGTACAAAGACCATGAAAATGAAGATCATTACGCAAGAGTAAATATTGAAATGACTACGTAAAACCTCACAAACAACAATTATTTACTTTTTTCGGCAATTTGCAAACGTTTGCCCATAATATTAATGACATAACAATATTTAACATAACAAATTATTCGTTCACGATATCCTTTCTGATTACAGTGGAACCTCGCTTAACGAGTTTAATCCGTTCCAAAATTTCCGGATTTTTATACTCATATAGTGAAACAAATTCAAAAATATACATAATATGTGTACACAAGTTTTAAAAATGATGAAGCAGGCACACAATCCGGAACTTCTCTTCTCTTCGTCGCTCGTTAAGCAATTCATTTTGCGCGTTAAGTGAAATGCTCGTTATACGAGGTGCTCGTTAAGCAAGGTTCCACTGTATTTAAGTACGTGTGGTATTACACACTTAATTCTAGTAAAATGCTTTTATTCTATTTGATCAGAATCTGCAAATTCCATGGATCAAATCAAACTCATCCAGCAACAATCCACGACACGGTTTTCAACCTTGATATGCTGTCAAACATCGAACAACCTACGACGACACGATATCAGACATTGTGGTTATTGCAAATAATTCAAATAGTAGTGTTAGCTGCAAACATATGTGAATTGCAGATAATTCAATTCACTAAGCAAAATTGCGAACCAAATTGTTTCGGATCCCAAAGCCCCCATTATTATTTACACTGCTATGCACAATTATTATGAAACATGAAGGCCGTCGATAATTGCGCATTTCATTATCGGAAGGTGTTTATTTTCTTTTCATTAAAGTTTGGCTATTGAACAACGCTTATTAACGCCAACAGTAAAAGATGACGATTGCAATGGAATTTGCTCAACGACAATAATTCATTAAAGTTTCACCTGAAAGATTGATAGTGTACTTAATTCAAGGTCAGCGTTTTATCGACCGCCACACGCGCCATAAAATACAAAAGGGGGAAAAAGGAAAGATTTATATTTCTAATAGTAATAGCAATAATGTCATCATCTTATCGTCAACACTCAGACAGATTTTATCCGAAATGTAATGATAACTGTCAACGCATGAAGGTAACGCAGATAATAAGTTCAATTCAGTTCATAAACTATTTTTTTTTTAATAAGTAGTTATAACTTTCTATTAAAATATTGTACGTTTGAGGTCATATTTATGAGTTTTATTAGTAAATTATGTAAATAATCCCATTTGTTGTCTACTTTTGCTTTTTAAGCTTAAAGTGAGTGCAGTTTTATACAAAACGTAATTACTATTCAAAAGCGCATTAAAAATGCAAACATTAGACCGTATTTTTAAACTTTGATTTCCAGTTTAGTATAATATTATTATGTAATAGAACTGTTTGAAGTGGTCAACTTTCGTTACCTCGAACAACAAAGATCTATATTTTTTTAACTAAATATGCTTTCGTTTTAATAACTACTATATTAATGCTACATAATAGTAAACGCACATTATGAATTAAAAAAATAAATGTAAAGAAAACAACAATTTTGACAATTGGTGAAATCTAAGATAAATATTGATTAAATTACTTTTTCAACATTCATTTTATGATATTCAATGCTTTTTATAGCAACCTTGAGGTCAAATCTTCTAAAGATTGGGATATATTTAGTGAGGCGAGTTCGTTTCGAATCAGAGTTCAGGAAATCGTAGTTTCTCCCATTTATAATTTTATAAATGGGCTTCATAAAATAAAGCTTCAAACTCTATATATACTATGATTTACATGTGCAGCAATTTTGGGAACATCAGAGAACGACATAAATGTTAGAATTAATAGTTTCAACAATGGAATTTGATTTTGATACATCCACTAACAACCATGATCTTCTGAAGGTTAACTTACATTGAATTTAGACATAACATATTATTCAATGATTTCTGATCATGCGCTTAAGAAAAATGTTGAATAACTAAAGATAATTCCAATAAAAATTCAAACACATGAGTCCTTTTATTTTACAAATTAAATATAAATATGACAGAAACGTCGTGAATTATTGAATTCTTTATTTTCAATGCTCTAATTACTTCCATATCTTGGAAACTTTTAATAACAGTATAGAGTTGAATCATTAGGTGCGTGTAATATTGATTTTGCTGAAACTGAGTTAAGTTAAATTTTCATCCGTACTATTTATAATTTTATAGATTCGTATCTTAAATGGCTTCATACATGATGAATTCTTTAGATTTTCGTGCTTTCCGACCGCTTTGAAATAGTTATATAAACGTTTTAATTGTCAATTTAAAGTTAAGAAAAAACGCCATCTCTAAATAACAACAATAACTTTAACTTGTCTAATATATTTGAATTTAGTCACATGTCAAAGTGATGCATTTAAATTTCTATTTATAATAGATGGAAAAGCCAGAAGTCATTAGTTACCATCAAAATTGAATATTAATTGCTGCAAATAAATAATATTTATTTGTGGGCTAAGTTATTTATATACACATTCAAATTTAAATAACAATTAAATATATTGAGTGGAAATTAGCTAGTATATTACCTTACTGTGGTATTATGAATATGCCAATTAATATAAGTTAAATTACCTTAGTGAGTGTCTTCAATTATACTTATAATAGAAAAATTATAAATATTGTCAGGTTGAATTAAAATTATTTCATATGATTGTTGATGTTATTGAGAAATATGGATTGGATATCTATGATATTAAATTTCATGTGTTTATTTAAGAAATATTTCTTTTGTGAGAGTTAAGCATGCTTCAAGAAACAAAATGGTGGTAGAAGGTAGATGAAAGGGTGACATACCTGCTATTGGTAATTTGAGGGTTTGGAAAGGTGAGTTTAGCAACATCAGGAGGTTCGGGGACAGCATGAAGTCTACACAACTCCCTAAGGAGTATTGCCACTTGGTGGAGTACATGATTGTCCAGGCCCTCAGTGTTACTAAGTATCTGTACGGCATTTGTTATGCTGGTCTCCTCAGAATCAGCAAACCAGACTGGTGGCACTGATGGGTATGTTTCCTGTCGGCATGAAAAAGCATTGAATCAATGGTGGCAAGAGAATCTGTCATTGTGTGAGCATGTGAAAGAGAGAGAGAATCAGCACAGCTGATGGATGTGAATGTCAAGCAGACAGATGAAGGTAGGTGGTATTGTTATCAGCCTCCTTGCCTTTTCTTTTTTTTTTGTTACCTTCCTCCATCATGTTTTTCTTGAGCTGTTTCCTTCGTCCCTATTCACGTTTTCTTATGATTCGCTTTATTTTATATGATGGTTGTATGGCCTATGTGTAATCAAAAATCGATTCTTACCGTAATGTTAGCGTGGATTTCGTACTTTTTGCCATTCTTGCCGATGAAGCGGCAGCTCAGTTCGTCAACACTCGCGGACACAATCTGAAACCTATCATGGTTTTTTGGGAAGATTTGCTCCAATGTTCTGATTTCCTGTTTGAGCGTATGTAAACACGCCATATGGGGTACGGTGGAGCACAAAAAGGGGGGCACACTCAGGTGGTGAGAACGTATCTTCTGGTTGCGAGGGGGCCTCAGGGGGGGAGGTTTTCAGCTCTCGGGGGAACACACTCGACAACGCACACACGCACAGATACCGTCGTCTCCAAAGCCCGCAGATCTCTCCTCTCTCGCAATACCAGCCACTGAACTTTCCACTCTAAACACACGGATTGTTTTGCAACTGTTCACTCCCTACGCTCGTCAAAATGGCCGAATTTCTTGTGTTCTTTAAAAAGAAACGCTCATCGGCAACGATCGGACATGCTCGGCTCCGGCGGCGCGACCAGACCTCGCCTCGAATCTGGAATGGATTAACGGGATAACAACGGGACTTTTTTTATATATTCTCCTATCTCTCACTCTCTCTTGCTTTAATCATAATTAACATTATTCTATACTCTTCGTACACACAAAATACGCATAAATTATCAATGATAATCCTCTCTCTCGCACGCACAATCTCAAAATATTTCGTGCGTGCCGGTCCGTTACCTGAAATTTTCCATGCCCAGAACAAAGGACGTCACGATTTCCACCAATGGCAGCGGTCTTCGCACAAAAAATTGTCGAACAATTGAGAAATGCACTTTTGTCGACGCCAATTGGTCAACATCTTCCACCACCTGACAGTCGTAAATTATTTAAATACATGCCATAAAATAATCATTTTCAAGTAGCGAAATTCGGCCTGATGCGAACTGAAAGTAACAAAAAAAAAAATGTAACGTTATTTCAAACGTTCCTGTTATGAACTTTCATCCGAATTAAAGTCTTGTTCGAACGGTACCTAACATTAGTAGTCCTAGCAACTAATAATTACACCAACAATTAGCATAGTATAATAATACCCAAAATTTTAGAAAAAGTCCAACTCAATTGTTCTACTTAATGTAGCTTGTTTACTGTCAGCTAACTTAAGTAGTACAATAGTGATAATATTCTTTACATCAATTCAATTAAAAAAAAATACAGTTTTAACTAAAATACCTCTTTTAAACCTTTTAACCCTTTTGTCCTTAATGGTACTTAGTACCAACAATAATTTATTTATATTATATTCTGGGACAAAATGGTTTACACACTCAATAATTAAATCAAATCGATACTAGTTTATACAAGGTATAATAATGTTTTCTGTCTGGACGTATCACTTATTATTTACGTTACTTCGAATTATAACGACTGTGACTTAAAAAATCTTAGGACAATTTAAATACAGTTGTGATTAGACTACTAAAATACTTTTGATGTTCTGAAAATCATAGCGACATATTACAAGAACCATGAATAGTCTATATCTTTATATATATTGATTCAAATTTCTAATAATAAGATTAAAAAGACACTATTAATTGTACATGTATTCATTTTTTTTTGCCATAAGATACCTTAACTTTTCTACAAATATAATATTAGCACTTACAAATCATCTTCAGATTTACGAATTTATAAAATGCAATAATTTATCATATTTTTAAAAAATATCCAATATTCAATGCAAATGATAACTATAGAATGTTGAAAAAAAAATTCTTGTAAAGCAAATTGAAGTACTTCTATACGGCGTAAATGAAATAACATAAACACAAAATACGTTTATTATCGTCAAATAAATAATAATGTACGTCTTTTCATTTGTTTTGAGCTCGTTGATTGGCAAAATTAAATGAACTGAATTATAAAAGTGGATTAGACTTGGTGGCTTGGTTAATAAAAATCTGTTAAAATATATATTGGATCTAAATGTCGCAGAAAAATTGATGACAGACGAGGTATGTTTTTCTACACATACCCATTGGGGGAATCCTTTAATTTTTTTAAGTGCAAAACGGGGTCGCGGACCATTAAGTTTGAGAACCACTGGTCTACAAAACGCTTAGGAATATATGCACTGTGCCACTACCATAAATATAAGAAAAACATGTACAAAATGCTATACACCGCAGTATTTCTGCTATTGATATTTACATACTATTATGACTTAAGTATTATTTAATTACTCTTGTATATCTAAGTAAATAAAAAAATAATTAGAAATACTATTGACTACGGTCAATGTCCAATTGTGATGTACATACACAATAAGTTATTATTAATTTTGATATAAATATTTATGATTTTTTTAAAATATTCTTTGTCATAGACATGTTTATTGTAGTTTTCGTGATCAATTCGATGAACTTCAAACAATTAATGTAATTCATCTTATCATATGTACATAATAAATATATTCATAAATATACTTAGTGCAACAATTCATTTCAAGGAAATATTTTATGATCTGATTGTTTTCAATTGTGATTCAGACTTTCACATTATCAGAAACGTATTTTAAGAAATTGTATACGTGCAATCAATCACGAGTGCCAATTGTTCTGCACTTCATATAAATTTTCTTTTTCAATTCAAAGATAATCTTGTTTATACAAATATTAAAGTATTAAATCGGAATATTAAATCGGAAATTATTAGTTTCTTTTGTGGTAAAATAATTTAAAAAAAAAACAAATTCTTTGTAAACTACATCACTTACAGAACATTTCATTCAACGAAGGCAGAATAATATTTATATTTTTATTTTGAAATCGTCAAGTTGGTGTTCATATTTGGATATTCTTACTTTAATTTCTCTAATTTTTATTCAAGTATTGAAAAACCTAGGTCGTAGACATCCTTAATAGGAAATGCAGGATATGGAGAAGATGGATGCACAACTACATAGATAAAAAAAAAGGGAAACGAAGGGTCCATTCTCCCCTATAAAGATTCTTTTGAGCGAAGAAACACCGAATGTGCGTACATTTTTTTGTGTGTCTATATTACCCACTTTTGTGTTATTTATATTAGGGGCGAGAAGGGGAGAAACGAATCTCTGCACTCGCCCACAATAAGGGAGCTACAATTACAGGTAGAAAGCCTCATGATTACCAAAAACGAACGATTTTTCTGCTACAAGAATTCAAAAGTATTTTTTTTATTCCTAGAATATCTAAAATTTCTTTTCTAGGTCCATATTAGAACAAAAATATTATTAAATAAATCAAAATTGTCTTAATACAAAAAATAAGTTCACAAATTTTGAGTCACCTATCCAAGTACTAATATAATCGAATGTTTCTTAACTTTAGTAAACTCTCAACTCTACTGTTTATTACTCTCTTTGGGTCACCAGCAACGTCATAAGCCGCCATGATGCAATAATCATATGATTTTACTTGAGGTTATGTTTTAAGAAAGATATGCTATTCTAGAAAATGTGATTGTTAAGAACTGTTGAATTCAAATCTTTTGGTAAAGTTTTCAATTTGGCTTCGAATATTTTAAATTCAAAACTTACCTCCTTTTGTACAGGACGCACCTGGACACCATTTACTTTACGCTCACAAACTGTCATAAATAAAAGACTGTTCAAGGTCGTTGATTTATCGAACATACTTTAAACAGTAACAAACGAAAATATTTAAAATATATGAATGGTAACACTTTGGTAGAATAACATTTTGCGAAGAGATAACTTTAAAATCAATGGCAAAATATTTTTGTTTTCGTGATGTGAAAAGGTTGGGAAGCACTGATACTTACAAATAAATATGATAGTAGCATATTTATTTTTAATATTGAATTCTTAGCAAATATTATGGATTATTTTTATTTAGGATCTTTGTGTCATTTATAAAATAAATTATGTAACATTGACGGATTATAATATTCCACATATTTTGAAAACTAATCAGAATACTAATCACAATCGGATTTCTGAAAATTGTAGGTAGATATAATTGATTTGATAATTAGCTAATCATATTGGGAAAATAAAACAATATTTAGTTTTTTTTTTGTTGTTGTTGTATATTTCTCCTACATGCTTATTCTAAAAACTTTACTTCTTGGATTTTGGTTTCATGGTGAAATAAGCGACAAGAAGACCGATGGAGGCGTAGGTGGCGATGGCAACCTAAAACAAAAATATTATTGATGTACATTTGGTTGCCAATTTGGAAACCATAAACTTGCATAGATTCTCGATCAAAGTAACTCCACCTACCATTGATGGTAAATTGGAGTAAATTTTATTATTGATTGAATATGTAATGCAATTCTAATAAGATTTAGATTTTTTGAGGTTATCCAGTATTCATTATATAATCAGTTGGTTCGATTTTAGAATAAATCGTAATATGAATGTATACACTTACATTGGCCCTGCCTCTCATGGTAGATCCATTGAAAAGTTTGGATAATCCGCTCAGTTTAGCATCGGCGCCTGGTCCAGCCATTTTACTATGGGTATTGAATATCAATAATTTTAACTGAACCTACAGTATAAATACTTACATTGGAAATTTGCACGGAGAGGTTGCGACCAAAGATTAACCAAAGACACGAATGAGACAAAGTGGAACGGCTGATGGGAAATCCTATTGGGTAGACAGAGACGGATAGCTGCGAGTTATGTAACTGCAGGTACACACCAGATTTCCACAGGGATGCCAATATCGAGGAAGCGGCATTATTTGAATTTAACATATACACAGTGATCATATTAGTTTAAAAGATTTTCTTGTAGATATAGACGCATCCTAGGAATACGAACGTAGCTAAGGTCACCTGCAATTAATAAAATCAATAGCACCAATAGTAACCTATATAAAATGTTAATATTCTGTCTGAATTGGGACGTCTTCATTTGACTGATTTTACTGTGAAACTTACATTTGCTCGTCCTCTGACTGTATAATTATTGAAAAGTCGCGCGAGTCCTTTGGCTTTCGGATCATCGTATGGTTCGTGTTCATCCGACATTATGAAATGTCGCTTATTTTTTTTTTGAAAATTAAAATGAAATAACAGAAACAATTCGAATGTCTTCATGCCAACTTAATGTCGCTATTTTTTTAAATATAATTGTACGAATTCTACCAACATTTCCACCTAAATAAATAATTAAACCAACATAAAAGAATATACTTTTACTAAATTGTAATTTATATATACATAGTAAAAATTATGTTGCATTTATATTCAGTTTGCTGAAACTATTAAACAAAATATGGTGGATGCGCTGGGAACAACATGCCTAAAAGTAAATAAAATCTGCAGCAAATCTGCAATAAGTTTACAGACAATAATCATATTCTCTTTGGCAATCGAACAAATAAGTACAGGTAAACGTCGTTTTGCGCCGGTTCGATTTACACCGATTCATAATAACGCTGCTGCGAAATAACGCTTATTAATTGCCGATTTTACACTTATATAGAACTAAACCCTATAGTTAGCTCACTGTAAATAATGGTTCATTTTACGGCGCTTCGATTTGAGACGGATTTTGTAGAAACGGAACTGCGGCGTAAAACGACGGCTATCTGTATAATAAAGAAAGCAAAAAAAACTTGAGTTGTCTAGAATAATATTCAAAGTTGTATATATCTTATATTACTTATAAAAAAAATCAATAGAAAAGCGCTTTTATTTCAATAATATATGATTAGTGTGTACGCACTATAATACTTACCTTTAAATTATGATATGCAGATATAATATAAAAAAGGTGTAATCAAAAACATTGCTTTCAACAAAACTCGTGTATGTTCGGTTATCTAAAAAAACTCAAATACATTTCTGAACTTACATAATAATAATAATAACTGGATTCAGAGAAAATTTCCAGTAACTCGTCTCGCTTGTATTTCTCGCTCGTTTACAAGTAAAACTGACTAGTTATTAATATAGAATATACGTAATAAATTGAAAATTAAATAATAATTACTTTAATTTTCTCAGCCGGCCGGAGTGAAGAAGTAAATTAGCGTACCAAGAGTAGCAAATATGTAATAAATATGATTACGTATAAATATATATACAAGATTATTGCGTTCGTAAGCAAAATTTGGTATAATTCCAATATCTGCACTCGCATCGATCAAGCGCGACCTCTTCTCATCAATGGACATAATCCGATACTAGTATATGTATACTCATAATATGTATATACTGGAATGAAACCACAAAAATAAATATGCAATAAATATATAAAAAATGGTAAAAAAGGGGGGAAAACAACTTAAACAAAAATTGTTCACCGTAGAAAAAATGGAAAGCCGAGATTATGAGAATAAACAAAATGAACAAAACTAATTTCAAAGATAATGAGAACAGATTAACATGTAAAGCTCGAATACGTTATGTGTCCGTTTGTATGTGTATATATATATATATATAAAATGGTTTAAAAATGTTCGATTTTGTTTCCCTTTAAACGATCGATGGCGGTATGAATGTTGGACGGGCTACGATTTGTTCATGATCGCTGTCCATTTCAGGATCACTATCCGCATCCGAACTCGAGCTCACCGCCAGATCTCCGGCCATCGCCACCCTAGCGTACTCGTCCGTATCAATCGACTTGCAGAAGTGTATTGCGTATTTTAACTTCTCCTGGAGGACAGGCTGCAAAAACAAAAACCAGTGTCACATACCGATTCTAGGTACAGCAATAAACCTACCTTGCAAGAGTATCTGGGCATTTTCAGCAGGAAGAAGCATGTGTAACTCTCAGGCAGAAAGTGATCAGCCGGATTGTACTTGTCCAATACCTGTATCACGAAATCACGACCCCTGAAGTCCGCGATGGTACGTGGCAACCTGGTTCTACCCCAGACAAACCTAAGGAACAGAGATCTTTCCTGGTTCGAAAAGTCCTCCATAACTTCCCAGAACCATTGGATCAAAGGTGACGTACTGTCGATACCTGAAAATTAATGTTAGGACTATTATAGAACATATTAAAACATAAAGAAACACTGACCTTTGTAAGTTGCAACTGATTTCAACATTGTCAAGGGAATGTCGGGAGAACCGCAAACCATAGTTTCCAACTCGTAAGCACTGAACAAAGACAGCAAAGGTACCGGTATTACCTTTGACATTCCATCCCTAACGGCTTTAACTTGTTCGTCGAACTCATGAATCCTGTGAAGCAGCAACAAGTTAAAACATTGCATTAATTTACTATAAAATTTACCTAAAGTTCAGGGCCAATCGAACGTATTCCATGCGGTTTTCGTAAGTGATTCGCTTATATTTCGTGCTCAGTGGAACATCAGTGCCGCAAGAAGAAGGCGTCGAGAAAGGCATTTCCAAGTTCTGGAAGAGTCGTTCATCCGGCCCCATATCCCTAATGCACAGTAACCCAGGCACGTAATCTCTATCAACTTCAGTCAAATCTCCGGGCGTTAACTCCATGCCGGCGAGTTGCTTCCAAACTGCTTCCGCCAAATTAATACTTAGTGGTGAGCCGGTTCTCACTGCGATTCCCATCAATACACCTACAAAACCTATCGCATTAAAACCAACGTTGAATCAGACTTTAAAGACATACCTAAGAATCGGAACATGTTCAAGTGCAAACAGGATTTCGCCAAGGGATTCAATAGGAAGCAGTCTCGATTAGTTCCAGCTTCGTCACGCCCGTTTGGAGTAGGTATCAAAAGAGGCAAAGATCCATTTTGAAGTTCATCGCACATTTCTGCAATACTCTCGCTGTATCCGCCACCGCAATCGTCGACGCTCTCACCTATTTCAATCAAATAAAAATATAATGTTTGCGTTGAACTTGTTTTGTTTAGACAAAAACTAACCGACAAATTTAACTTTCCAGATGCGATGGGGTAACGACAAAGCCTCGGAAGTAAGTTGTGGCAGTTTGCTGACCATTTGACCAAAAACAGATTTCATTCCATCTACTCCCGCTAAACCACCTCGTGATCTTGACCTCTTCACTTGGATTCTGTTCAATTCTATAACTGGACCGTGCTGTTTATCACGGACCATAGTTGCTTGAACAACCTTTCTGAAGGTGGCTTCCTTGATGGAATACACCAATATATTTCGTAGTTCATGAAGAGAGCCAAGACCAGTGATTGGGAACATCGTTATACATGGGCAAATTAGTTCGGAGAAATGATGCAAGAGTATTAAACGTCTGTGAAGCACCTGCATAGGAATATCCTTCAAGAGATCGTACTCCATTGGTGCTTGAGTCGGAAGCCTCGCAGCTGAGGTGTGATTACTTGTGGACCATGCTAGAGTGTGGGCAGATCCGCAGGCAACGTTCGTAATTTTCTTTCCTTGCAAAGAAGCAACCAGTCGGGGTCTTTGAATGGCGTTCGTCGTTCCATCGCCCAGCTGCCCCTCGTCGTTATCGCCCCACGTGTAAACCTCCCCTTCGTCTGTGGACGCTACGCAATGAAGCGAGCCAGTTGCTATTGAAATAAACTTTTTGCCGGGAAGCGAAGTTATCTTGCGTGGTCTTCGAATGTGCTCATCTGGTCCATGTCCTAATCTGTGGTAGTCCCCTTTACCCCTGTAATTAATAAAAATGAGTAAATACTATAACACAAAGTATATATAATTGGGCTTCGTACCAAGTATATATGTATCCTGATTTCGTGAGACCCATTGAGAACTGCGAACCACATTCAACTTTAATAATTCCCAAACCAGCTAGAGTTTCGATTTTCATGGGCACCTTACAACCATCAGAACCTCCACGACCTAGAATACATCATTTAAAATATAAATCTTAGTTTCTATAAAAAAAATACAAAAAGAGTTTATTCACTATTAGTTACCTAATTTTCCATAATCTCCATCACCCCAGGACCAAACATTATCATCATCTGTGATGCAAAGAGTTTGAGCATCACCGGATCCACAAGCCACGTCTATAACGCGATAACCAAGCAGATGTTCAACAATTTTAGGCTTCAGATGGTCTTCGCTATCTCCGTGGCCTAATCTTCCATAACGTCCTTTGCCCCAAGTAAACAGTTGTCCTAAACTATCAATGGCAGCAGAATGGGCACCACCACACGCAATGACCACAATATCGTATCCCTGCAGCGCTTCCACCAACTTAGGTCTATCGCAAGTGCTAAACATTTAACCGATTAGTAACATAATTATTTTAATGAAATTAGAATTACGAACGTTTTGTTGCCATGTCCCAGTTTTCCATCATCTCCCTCGCCCCATGAGTACACCTCGTTATCAGCCGACAATGCTAAACAGTGTTTACCACCAGAATTGACGGCGACCTTCTTTATGAACACATGTTGAATAGATTCAAGAAGTGTAGGCACAAGCACGGAATCAATTCCACCGATTCCCAATCGTCCACCAGCTCCGTAACCAGTGGCATAAACTTTACCATCAGCTGTGACTGCAAATAGCGTTTGCTCTCCGCCCGCCAACTGAACTGGCCGCAGACCGGAAAGCGAATCACATGTTGTTGGTACTTTAACTTTAGCACCTTCGATACCGCCCAACTGACCTCGATGGTTATGACCCCATCCATAAATCGTCCCAGATCCGCCCCATGAGAGGGTCCAATCATCCGGCCTCCTACTCAGCCATTGCAGTAGTTGCTCATCATGCTCCTTCTTGAACACATCGTGACGTTCGTGATCCCAAATATCACCAGTTGAACATCCTGGTGCAGCTAGCATCAACTCTTGGGAAGCATCCGTTGCTTTCTTCCGGACTTCCATGCTGAATTGTGCGGGAAGCACTGTACGATGGATCAGAGATTTAGCGACACGCGAGGCATTGCAATATCTTCTGAACCAAGACCACTTATGGTTATCAGATAAAACGCCTATCATTTTATCCAGTTCCAAATCGCATGCTAGGGCAGCTAGCACTTTGAAGAAATCAGAATGCATCAAGTGCACACCAGCCCTAACTGAATTATCTTCATGTTCATACTGTCGCAACAATGCTTGAGGTAACTCTTCCAAAAGTCCTCCAAGCGCATTGTCCGGTGCGCGAAGTTGCTGCAACTGAAATCCAAGACCTTTATTGTCGTCATCGGTTACTAACAATCGGTGCAGTTTTTGCAAAGCCCACATTCGTTGACTAGACGCTGCAATTAACAACAATTATAAGTTAGAGAAATTAATAACAAGCGGCACAAGCATGACTTACAAAGAAAACTAAGCTGCGAACAGGAGGCTAAAGCGGCTGCCAATCGAGACATTAAAGCAGTATCTGTGGATTTGTATATTTTTGGATCCAAAAGGCACATGACCATATCAACGGATGGTTGACTAAGAACAGCCCTGTCTGAACCTAATTCTTTCGGGGATTGATTAGACATTATAGGGTAGACGGTAAACCTCCAGCCCCAGCCGTTTACAGAGCTATCGCTCACAAAAGACCAGTACAATTCATCGCCTAAAAAACAATTATATATATATTCAAAATTATTGTAATAAAAAATCGTTTTACCAGGAATTCGAAGTTCAGCTGACCAATCCGTTCTTTCTCTGCCCGATCTAGTGGCCACAACTTTCCCTCTGCCATCTGTGATTGTTAAGGGGTCGTGTCTCCTCTCAGTCGAACATCTCCTATCAAATTCCACTCTCAAAGCGTCAGCGCCAGGTAACCTCACGTGTCCTCTAAGCGTAACATCGTCCACATAAGGATGGCTGGACTCTTGAACAACTGGATGAGGCGTCATAGACAGCGTATGTGTATTGCTTGTAGTGTCCTCCAATTCAGTAACGCAGATCTCAAGAAGCATAGCTCCTATAGATTTATTCGCAATCCCCATGTCTGAGCAAAAAAAAACAGTTTCAACAAACAATTAACATTATGAAATAAAAACTCACTTGTAAGAACGGTAGACAGAATTTCTTTGGCATGCTCATCTTCAATTCTATCAACAACGGCCAACTTCAATAAATCGACGATAAGTTTAGCATCGCTCTCGGTTAGAAGCACGGTAAATTCATCCAAACCAGTTACATCACCATCTCCAACAACTTCCGCGTGCGAAGTCAGAGTGGCGGCAATAACAGACATAGCGCTTGTAGACATTCGAGAATGTTTAGAGGATAAGCTGGCGGAGCAACTACTAGCTGTCATAGACTGCATTAAAGCTATTGGATTTTCATCACTTTCTGGAGTAGACTGGTGGCTCTGAAGATATAAATATGTAATCTATTGATGCAATAAATTCAAGGAAACCTACATTGAGACAACCTAATTCTGCTAGAGAAGCAGGAGCTTCACCGCCACCCGTTACAATTATGTCCGCATCTTTGCCACCAAGTGTAGATTCTCCTTCCGGTGGAGTTTCATGACCTGCGTTTACCTATGAATTAAAATGAAAACATAAAATTGTGGAATATTTAATGTTAAAATTTCAATCACCTTGCTATTATTTGATGCATTCATATTTGTATGACTGCACAGAGCCTTTATAATAGCCTGGCGAAGTTGCTGTATGTGAATCGCGTTCAAAATATGTTGGAGCGCTTGTTGCTTAGCTGTATTGCTTTCCAAGGACATAACAATACCGCTTAAAGTCGGCTCCTTTTTCGAAACTCGATTGCTGGTCTTTTCGCCATCATATAGACCCAATATGGAAGATCCCAGAGGATCTTTTGGCACGGAAAACATCACAGGTTCTTGCATGGATACAGTTTGCATGTCTTGCAATGTCCATGCTATAGAATGTGAGCTACCGCACGCCACGCGATTAATGAAAACGTCCTCTAAGCCATGAACGAGAGCCGGTTTTCTATTAACTGCAGTGGTTCCATTTCCCTGCTGGCCATGGTCATTGTCCCCCCAAGCATAAACCTATAATATTTGAAACTTTATAGTAAACTTCAAATTACATGATTTAATGCAATAATCTCACTTGACCATTATCTGTAACCGCTAGACAATGCAAGGCTCCCACAGCAACGTGGATAATCTTTTTATCTCTGAAAGTCTCGATCATTGTTGGTTTCCTTACGTGCTGATCCGTACCATGGCCCAATCGGAAGTAATCTCCTTTACCCCATGTCCAAATTTCACCATTTTTAGTAAGGGCTAAAGAAAATTGCGCTCCGCATTCTATTTGAGCAACGTTCAGCGCATTTAACCGTTCGATGTTATGAGGAATGTTACATCCTTCTGAACCACCTCGACCCAATTTTCCAAAATCTCCATCACCCCAGGAGAACACCAAACCCTCGTCGGATAATGCCAAGGTTTGCGCATCTCTACTACCGCAAGCTACTTGGACTATTCTATGACCAACAAGGGTCTTCACTAATTTCGGTTTCAGTTGAGTAATGTTATCACCGTGACCTAAACGACCATATTCACCCAAACCCCAAGTAAATAGCTCTCCGCTGCTGCTGATTGCGGCAGAATGGGAACTGCCGCAGGCAATATCTCTGATTCTTTTGCTTCTCAAACGCTCAATCATTTTTGGTTTATCTAGATTTAACCTATTTCCATGGCCTAACTTTCCATCTTCACCTTCACCCCAAGAAAATACCTAAAACAATTATAATTAGTACTAATTGCATATTTCCAAATTGCCACATACTTTTCCATCCAAAGTCAATGCTAAAGCATGTTTACCACCAGAATGAACTGCAACTTTCTTAATAACATATTGACTGAGGAACGGAATGGGCCTTGGAAAGGACACGTTACTATTATGGCCTAGACCTAATCTACCATTTGTTCCCTCCCCGCACGCATACAGCTAAAATTAATATATGAACTAACATAAGATTCATTTAGAAATTTACTCGTACCGTCCCTTCCTGAGACACAATAAACAGTGATTTTGAACCACCTGCCATGTGGATGGGTCTGAGCTGATTGAAGAAATCAGACTGTACCGGAATTTTGACTTTCGACCCTTTCATACCACCCAACTGATCTTTGTCATTCAATCCCCAAACGAACACTTTGCAATTAGAATTTTTGTAGTCGTTGCTGCCGCTGTTGCCCGTACTAGAACCTTGCGCTGCAAATAAAACATTAAAAATACTTCTATTAATATAATTGTAATTTACTTACCAGTATACGGTGTATTAAAAGTTTGTTCATGAGTTAAATCCCAATCATTGGCCAAAAAACAAACAGAGGTCTTCAATTCTCCGCGAGCATGCTTTTTTGTTCCAACAATAGTTATTCCATGTATTTTACAATCGATGCCGCGCGTCTTGCACTTCACTATGGCAATCTCAATCATTGGATAATACTAAAATTACAAATTCATATATAAAACAAGCTAAATTTCTTAATTAAGATTAAAACCTGATCCATATTGGAAAGTAACGTCACCATTCTGTCTGTGCTACTCACGTAGACCACATTTAATTCTGAAAGAGATCCCACAGCAGTCCCACCATTAATTATGATAACTGATGGCATGTAAGTTTTATCAGAAGGATCCACACCCATTTTTAGGCTCTTTATAAGTATGTCTGGTTGTATCTCAAGACGTATCCAATGCTAAAATAATAGTAAAAAAAAATCTTTTTTTTTTATTGTTAATTCATATGAAAATTACCTCTCCTTGTATTCCGCAACTTTGCCACACGCATCCTGGGTTTTCAAAATTGGCTAAAACTTCTTGTGAAGATACGGACACATTTCGTACGCAACGGCTCCATTCGTTTGTTACAGAGCCTTCGGACTCCAAAAATTCATTTCTATAATAACGGCCTGGTTTACCTACGTATACTTCTGGAGCACCTGTAGAAAACAAAATCAAACTACTATCAACGGACGAACGGATGGATGGATGCACTAACCAGTATCCACTATTCTGTTGAAAGAATGCCGATGATTTTTCTTGGTGAAGAAACAATTCTCGCAATAGTCGTAATTTTCACAAGTCTTACACTTGTATCTGGCACCTTTAATAGGACTTACGCCGCATCCGTTGCAAGTGACACCTTCGTGGCTGCAAGGTACCAATTCCATCTCTGAGAGAAGACCGGTCCAATTCTGTTGCTTTGAAAAGTCGACGGTGACATCGTGGCCATTTGAAGAAATAGCTGTTGAGAAGATAAAACATTACATTTAACAAAAAAAAATAATTAATAGAATAATTTAAATTAACTCACCTACAACTATTCCTACGCTGTCGTGAGTTACGTAACCCCATTTATACCGAGGTGTGGATACTGTAGACTTTACTCTAACTTTATCTCCAATTTTAATAGCAGTTGGCGCTGGAAGACTTGGAGGAAACCCAAGCAATTCGATGTGAATAAAACGCACCCAATATGTATACACCCGGTTATGCCAGTTCACCTTCATATATATTAAGATAATAAAATTTCTGATAAAAAATATTAAATAAATACCTGAACATTGAGATCGTGTAAACCTTCCTTGTCTATTTTAATCACTTTTCCAATGTCCCCTACATGTACTTCCTCGTAACTCCTGCAACACCTTACCAACATACCTATCTCGATGTTATCACGCACATACATCGCATACTCGTCATTAGACAAGAAATCAGTTCTTTGGTTGAAAATTATAGCATTTGGTGATAAAGAATCGCCCATCTAACAAAAAAAAGATTATGATCATAAAATATTTTAAAACTAAAAACAGAATTTACCCCGGTACATTCTCCTAACGAATTCATAGCCAAATCAATTTGATCAGATGCTGATTCAGTATCGGAACTATAATATGAGCTTAGAGATTCGGTATCTGACGCAACAACATCGGGATGTTCGAGCAACCAAGATATTATGTTTTCTGGTGTAATTAAAGAATCTGCAGCAACTCCTGAAATAATAAGCAAAATAATCCACAAATATAGGACGACTAATAACTCAATACCTATATTCTTCATAGCATTTTCGACACTTTTCTTGGAGAAACCCATTTCCACAATTTGAGTAACAATCGGATTCACCGGCAGTTGGTTTGCTTCCTCGTTTTTCTTTTTCTTTGCGTTTTTTTCGCTAACGACAGATTTCACGGAACCTTCGCTGGTTGGTGTAGGCAGTTCGCTTCCGCCCTCTTTATTCTTCGAAACCCCTTTATCGTTATTTATGATGCAGCAAGCTGAGGCAGCAGCTACAGCCGATGTTGACGACGAAGAACCGGCAGCAACAATCGCAGGCTTATCGAAGTTACCCTCCGCAGCTAAATACTGGCTTAGATTCAACGCGGCCAATTGCATTTCTTCTAATGTGAATCCTGGCTTCAATGGGCTTGGCTGTGTGGCCTTCATTAAGATTTTCTGCATCAATAGAATAGGTTGCTGCGGACCATCATCCTCTTGTTGTTCCTGAGATTGTTCCATGGAACTGATTGGGTGTTTCAGGACTTTCCTCAACTTACTTTGACTAGAATTTAATACCCTCGACGCGTTCAAGCTGCTCAGCATGTACTGTTGACTGCGCAAGTAAGGAACATTTACCTGTCCGTATACTGGTTTTCTGTCATAGATACAGAAGGAGTACTGCTTATTCAGTAACAGCGTGGCCCAGGTCTTCACCAGGTTATCCCCAAATAGCATACGCTCCAAATTAAAGTTGATTGGTTGTATAAGCTTCAATCCAGGCAATGCAACCTTTCTTATTTCACCGGTGTCGTGAATTTGTACACAAAGTTTGCCCTTTTGTGTAACCCTTATAACCGATCCAACAGAACCATCTACTTCAGCAACAGCTCCAATTCGTGGTCGTACGTCCCAAGCACCAATTACATTTAAACTGGCAGTTACCATATAATGCTGAGGCTCATTTGTTGGCTCATTGAACACAGAAAGCACATTTGGTTCACTGAGGAAGTACGCCGCAGTGTTCAACTTATTTACCAAAATCGCATTGAGCACTTGATTCCAACCGACCAATCCGTGCAAGGTCCGTAATAAATTAATTATTTCTTGAGCCAGAGTGCTGCTGTGTGATTGGGTCAAAAGAACTAGCGATTTTGACTCGCATAGGGGTTTGTTGCCGGTGTCATAAGAGCATGTTAAAATAATTTTCCCTAAAATATTCAACACCTTTTCGAGCAGCGGTAGTATTTCCGAATTATCCATATCCCAGGATTGCAACACCGTCTGCAATAAGCGCACGGAGAGAATCTGAAAAATAATGTATGTCAAGATGACTTTCTTCGTACACAATAACTGTAATGTGTTACCTGTTTTGGTAAATTCACAACATTTCCACCTGCGCTATTCGATGCGGAAATGAAACTCAGTAGCATATTAACCCAAGGTTTTGTGCTAAATGCTATAGAATTTTGAGACGACTGGGCTATGCTTCTTACAAGCGTCAAACTACACCAGTCTTGATTTCCTGATTTGAGAGTGCTACAAAAGAGGCTGCTCAAACCGTGTATAGTAGACGGATCTAAATTCCCTTTCGCAAGTCCGGCACTTATTGCAATATTGCGTAAGAAATTTATGCTGCTATCCCTTAAGAACTTAATCAGTTGATTATCTTTGATTATATGAGATCCTAAATAATAAATTTAATATATGATTATTTAAAGTTCATAAATACTTTACCTGTATCAGTGACTTCTTCAGAATCAGTTTCCGATGACACTGGAGATGGAGGTGTGGCCAAAGTTAAATCGTACTTTCCTTCTTTGCCCATTCTATAACTGTTGGTTGTTCCGTTAGCCCATTCGACTCTCACCCAACCATCATCCCCAATTTCTCCGATAACTCTGCCTTCGCTTGGAGGTGGTCCATCTTGATCTCCCCACTTCCAGTCCGTCCCTCTGATCACTCGAACACCCAATTTCATCAACGCCGCCAACTCAGGACCACTCAATGAGCTGGTCTTCGGCTTGGAAGTCTCAACCATATCAGCATATAGTACGTAGAACTCAGACACTTTCCTTACGATACTCTGATCACATCCAGTTTGTCGAAGTAATGCCAATACGGAACTGACAACTCCGCTATTGATCAACGGACTCAATTCCATCGGCAAATAATGATTCGATGCCAGCATTCCCAAGATAGCCAGCAGCATTCTTGCTCTTGGAATATCCCGCAGCAAAGTATACGTACCTAAATTCAAATTGATTTTCGCACTTACTGATTTTTGTTTTCCAACACGATTCGGAAAATCTTTAAGAATACAATTGCGCAAGGACTCAATGCACCATTCTGTGACGGAAAGTTGACTAAGGAGTATTTCTGTTTTTAATGCCGGAGTCACCAGTTGAATACCATCTAAGCAATGGGACATGTTATCCTTGGTTGAAATATTTGTCAAACCCAAGTAACCATTGATTATAGCATACCGTGTTGATGTTAATAAATAATGCCTAGAGAGTAAATTTTTCACTAACTCTAAGCCTTCCTTTCTAATCTTACAGCGTCTCACCTGACAGAACATTGCTCTGCGCAGTGTATCAATATCACAGGAATTGTTGTGCATTACAAATTCAAGAATCGTGTTCATCATTTCCAGATTCTCATTGCATACCTTTTTCATCTTCTTCTCAGTCAGTTTAGTCAGCAACGCGCTCAACGCCATCTCATTTTCGTACTTCTTCTCTTTGTCTTGATCGGACTGTTCTATCTCAACTTTAGACTCGACAGTCCACTTCTCTTCAAGCTCAGTCTTCAGGTCGGTGCAATTCTTAGGAATGCTTTTTGCATTGTACGACTCAGACATAACTCTTTCGGCAGTACTTTTATCAGTGCCATTCTTTATTTCATTATTCACATCATCGGTATCGCTTTTGCTTTCGGAAATTTTACCATCGGATGCACATTTCTTTACACTGCTTTTGGTCAAATCTTCATTGGATTTATGCCTTTCTATGCTCTGAGATTGGATCGTAGCATTAACAATGTCTTCCGGTTTTTGAATGTCTGACGTGTGACGACCACATTTAAGATCCTTAATGATTTTCTTCACCAATGTCTTCACGCGCGGTTCCTTGTAAAGAACATTTACGTTCTTATAGGCCTCCATTTCTATGCTAATGGCAGGCTTAATCTCGTACAATAGAAACCTGCATTTTTCCAATACTGGAATGCATATTTCTTTATAGCTGCGGTTCTGTTCCTGTCGTATTTTAATCAAATTCCACTTGGTAGTATGTACCAACTTTACCATTTCGGCGAGAGCCTTCGGTAATTTTACATTTGGTTGTGTTAAATCTAAAAGTGTGAAAATGTAATTAAAAAAATATTAAAAAAAGCCGACATTTCGTTTTTTTCTGGTAGAGAATGAGAGAACTACTTACATGCATCTAGTATTGGTAATAATATATACCCGAGTCCTAAATGTTTCAATAAAACTGCAAACAGCACTCTACCGATCTCCTCTACGGGATGCTCGAAGGAAAAATCGACGCGTGTCAAAAAGTTATTTTGCTTTGAATGTTGTTCTACTACAGCCAAGAACGCTAGCACATAAGAGTCCTAAATATGGAGAGAAAAGAAGGCCACATTTAACTAAATCAACTAAACATTTAATATAAAAGGATTGAATAAATTTAGTACTTACAGATAATCTACTCTCCGCCAAAGCGTTTATAAAATTGTTGATGCGATTTAATGGAATTTGAAGAGTTTTATTAGTTTTAATGTGATGCGTGGTGTTGACGCGCGGTTCCGTTGGAGTATTTCCAGCTGTCGAATTTGTACTCCTTGCATCACCCTTTTCTTCTTCAAAGGGATTTGGCGGTAATACGACCTAAAAATGCAAATGTTATTGGAAATCTACTAACATAAGTACGATCAGTATTACTTGTAAACCTCCTCGTAAAAATGGAGACTCAGTCCAATCTTTGCTAAGAAATTCTGGTTCTTGCAAAGGTAAACTTTGTCTCATATGAAAAGCGTGCAATCCTAGCAAGTGACCCAAGTGTCTCTCAGTGTCCAGAAGTGTAGACAACACGTGTAAACTGTCCAAAGGTATTTGTCTAGAGTCAGGTTCTTGTTGGGAATAATTTCCAATGACGTACGTTTCCATCATCTGAAGTGTGGACAAACTATGGGGAGTGCTATTGAAAACGTGACTAGCATCTTTTCCTGCATATTTATGAAGAATTTCCATCATACTAGAATTTTCGCATCTGCAAATAGAAAGTTAATTTAGAAAAATAAATAATTTTTCATGCTAATCAAATAACCTGAAATCTTGAATATCGTAGACTTTGTTGTTGATAACTACCCAACATCCGCCATCCAAATTATGATTTTCCAAATCAGCTTTTCTTATCAGAGGTAGTTCGTCGTGATTTTTGTGTGATGCATAAGGGTTGGATCTAGTGTGTGGAACGCCCGGCCAAGATACATCATCGGTATCAGATGCTTCGATGTCCGGCGATAACTTGCATAATTTATCCAAAGAAGCAAGGACGCTATCAAAGACATGCATCCAGTCCATGGTGAACAAAAACTCTTCGATTTCCTGCTGTAGCAGAATCATGGATACAATAAGTTCAGGAAGCAGTATATCTGTGAAACAATAAAAAATATAAATTGTTGCATAAAATATTTATTAAGACTGAAATGTTACCAATAATATCTCCTTTTATCATCTGCATTACAGCTAAATAGTTTTTACGGTGTATAGCAGCCTCGTATGCGATAATCAGAGTCTCTGTGATGTGCTCAGTTAATTGATGCAGATATTTCTTAAGGAGCGATTCGGCCGCTTGCAGAATGTCGCTATCTTTGGTATATATTTTAGCAATTAGTAAACGCTGAAATCTCAGAAGTAAATTCAAACTCGGCGAGTGCGTGGATTTATGAGGCTGTGCATTAAGCTTTCCAGTGGACGTAAACTCTTGTAGTCGTAGTTGCGTAAAAGTACTTCCATTTCTAAATTGAAAATACATAAATTAAATATGCATTGTTTATGCTTTCATGAAATTACCTTAGCAGTTGCTTAACCAAATGAAGCAAAGGTATAGCGGTATGGTTGATGGACGCTTCAAAGGTCTCATCGATATCGGCTAGTTCTGACAATTCCACACGCAGTGCTTCACAGAGCGCTGTCTCCAAGCCCCCATCTGCCATCAAACTCCACACCAAGAGATCAGTCATGAATCGGTGTCCGCAGCTAACCACGCTTGGATCAATTCCTGCATAAAACAATCATTCGGCATATTCATTAATCAAATTAAATGCTAAATAAAGTTATTACCTGTGTTTGGTAAAAGTGAACTCAAAGTATGCGCACGTTCGTTCGCTGTTGGTAAAAGTATGCTCCAACCTGCCTGCAGAGTGGCCTGAGCCGCCTGCTGAACAGTGGACATAATCCCATTGGAACTAGCCAAATGAACGACGCGTGTCTTCAAGCTATTCAATAGTTTGCTTCCTACACCTAATCCCAAATACTTTGAATCCACATTGTTGGTGATTATGCAATGCAACTGCAAGAGTAGTAGATTCAACGAGGCAATAGCTATACATTCGTTCTCCTGCGATAAGGGGAAATTAATGACACTGCTGGACTGTTTGGTGTTCTCGCAAACTATCTCCAATAATTGTTCTATATATCTGAACGTGTTCTCGCTTAGATCAATTACGAAAGGTATGCGACTGTGGGGTATCCATGAACTATAATCCGACCAAATAAAGCTCTGCGTAGGTCCGCAACAAACCCCTATGACCTTCTGCCCTTGCAACGAGTCCAATAGATAAGGTCTTTGTATTAAATTCTCATTGCTGTCGCACACTTGCTTGTAGTCGTTCTTGCCCCAACCAAAAACTTCTCCCTGTTCGGTGAGAGCAAGGACGTGACCCGTACCTAAACTCAATTTTATGATTTTTTTACCTAAAAATGTAATTATTGTAGTAGGTGTGTAATATTATTAAGATATAATTACCTTCTAAAGTCTGTATCATCTGAGGAAATCTAACATGTTCATCGGTCTCATGCCCTAATCTCCAACCTTCGCCTTTACCCCAACTGTAGACCTTACCATCACGCGATAGGGCCATACTAAATTGGCATCCACAAAATACATCGATGATGTCAACATTTTGCAGTCGTTCTATTAAACGAGGTATTTTCGAACCATCAGATCCACCACGACCTAACAAAGTTTTATTACCAACAGTGAACTTTTACTTTGCTACGCAAAACATACCCAATTTCCCGTAATCTCCATCTCCCCAGCTGTAAACGCGTCCTTGACTTGTAACACAAAGAGTATGAGCATCTCCCGATCCACAAGATACTGTTACGACATGTTGACCAGATAATGCATACACCATTGTTGGGATAAAGCAGTCATCAGAAGTTCCATGACCTAATCGACCATAGTTTCCACGACCCCAAGTATACAGCACTCCATTCTCGGATATTGCAGCACTAAACAATTAATGGTAATATACCCAGCAATAAAATATTAAACACAAAACCTGTAAGATCCTCCGCATTTTATGTCTACAATATCCTTGTCTTTTAAAACTTCTATTAGAGTTGGTTCGTCCTTTGACAGAGTATCACCGTGCCCTAATCTGCCACCGTCGCCGCTACCCCATGAATATACTTCTTGTTTGCTCGTTAAAGCCAGAAAATGTTTACCCTCGGGATGAGCGGCTATTTTAATCACGTCCTTGTTTCTCAATCCTTCAACTTTTTGTAAGCACGGTGTCTCCGAGCACAATTGAATCATATAAACGTTGCCATAAGTACATAGAGCTAAAAGGCAGCGATAAGCACAACACAATTGGTAAATGCTGATTGTGGATAGAGCTTCGATAGCTTGCGGACCAACTCCGATATTCCAGGAGAGAAATCCCCAGGCAAGAAATTGCTGTCCATTGTAATTTATAACAGACTGCAATATAAAATCAATAAATAAATAAATAAAATCTAACCATGTTATTTTACCTTATTGAATGATTGTGGTGGTATATATGGTGCAGCAAGTCTATCCAGATGAGACAATAACATTACAGAAGCACGATTCATATCAATCTCTACCGAATCCTCTTCAGGCATTTTACAGAACTTTAGGAAGACTTTTGTGCAGCGAGGGTCTTCAACATCTTCAATCGATGGTTTGGAACACGGAATTAATGCGAACTTCTTTAGGAACATTGCTAAAGGAGCAGTTGCTGTATTAGGAGGTGATCTAAAAATCCAATCATGTTTGTTTGTTATACAACATATAATATTTAGGTACCTATTATCATCAATGTGAGTGCGTTTTTCCCAAAGGTGGAATAACAAAAGTGTCATTTCCAAAATACTACTCAACGATCCTTTTTGCAGTGCCAATTCCAATAGCAGATTGAGAGAAGTGTGTTGGTCCTCCATTGGAACGTTATACTGTCGTACGCTATTTAAATCGCTATAAAATAACAAACATTAATATCTAAAGAAATTTCAGGATGATGCATGAACAAACCCCATAACAACTTGTCGAAGGAATTTCGAAGATCTCTCTACAACTTCCAGCCAGATCGGAGAGACGGTGACCTCATCAAAAAGCGTAGCAACAGGAAGCAACTGCAAAGCCTCTAGAGATTCTAACAAAAGCTCACTACACAAATCTACGTCTTCGCCTAGAAACAAAATATAGAATTAGTGGATGAATTCAAGAAAAACAGATCAACACCGATTACCTAATCTCCAAGCACGCCTAAGGAAAGCAAAGGAGAAATTGAGGGCGGCTCTTGATCCAACGCGAGCTAAACCCAATGTAGGATCAAGAGTTAACGAGGCGGTCGTTGCTGGTGTTGTGGAACCACCGCCCTTGCTGCGGCTACATTTGGCCACCTCGGTTGCACCCTCCATGCTGGATTTTCTGGTGACCGCGTTGTTTTCGATGTCAGAAACATATGGTACGCGATTAACGGCAATGAAATAACGCTTATAAATTATGAGCCTCTGGTGAAGACGCATGGACGAGAGCGAGGTGTTCGCCGCTTCCAAGCATAGCCGACGTTGTTCATTGTTCAAGCTTCTTATAAGAGTCGTCAATTGATCCTGATCTGAAAACGAAAATTTTGAAGTCATTAAATAGTTTTTACTACTATATTACAGTAGTAGATGAAATTACGAAATGCTTACTTGGCTGCGGTCCCCAGGTCCAAGAATTTAATATATATTGAGGTAGACAAGGCGGTACGTTATCTGGATCCGATTGTTTAGATTCTTCGGCATCCAATTTCTGACATGGTAAGCAATTGCAGCCCGACATCGGTCCGCAAATGCTATCGCAGCAAGTGCATGTTAATACCTATAACCACATCATTTTGATTTAGTATTGTTAGGAAATATTTATGACTGTGTTTCAGTAAAAAGTGAAACATTGTATATTATATATAAAAAATATTTCTCCTCCAAATTTTTAGAATAACAGTTATGTTAATGTTGATGGTCTGCCACGCCCCCACGTTGTAGTCATGGAAACCATAAACTCAGTATAAGAATAATATTAATTGTTTACTTTTGTATCACTTCAAGGCTTAAGAAATTATGTAGTAAAAATGCTGTAGCTATATGTAGTGTAATTACTTTGAATTGGTTACAGTTCAATATGTACCCAATTGATGTAGAAGTTGATCAACTTGCAGTTTTGTAATATATTTATTTTTAACATAAAAGTAAAATATAAAAATATTAAATAGTCATGGTAGACAATTTTATAGATCATCTATCTAAAATTGAAATATAGTTTTCATAAGTCTATCATCCTGCTAATCTAGAGCATATAAATTGGATTTAATAATAAATAACTAAAGCAAGTACTGTGTCTATCTGCACTGTCCCATGAATAATGGGTCAAGGATGGGACTTACCCGAAGACCACAGTAGTACTTGTCGTGGTCCCACTTCCTGGCAATGACTCCTGCAGAGTTGAGGAGGCCATCGGAGAAGGTGCCTGTTAGTTCACCATCAATGATAAGACGGTTCCACAAGTTGTGCAAACTGTCTTGCGAGTGGAAGACGGCCTGCAGATCAGTCTTGAGCCATTTCAGATCGAGTCGGCTATGGGCCCTCAGCTTCGTCTCAATGTGAGACATTCTCGGGTCGGAGTTAACTCATGGATGACCTGCAAACGAGACGAGACTGCACTGCACTAGGCGTTGTTGGTCCGGGGTTGGCGAAAGGGAAAGTGAAAGGCGGAAGGAGTTCGCGTGTGAATTTTCATTGAGAAATTCGCTCACCAAAATAAAGGAATATACAAATTTGACGTTCAGACGGCAGCCATATTTCCAAAAAGAAAACAATAAAGACGAAACAAAAACAAAAAGGAAAACAATTAACAAATTTACAAAACAATCATGCAATTGACAACTGGTCAAACGCGGTTACTGATGATGATATATGAGGAAAAACAATAACAACACTTGACGACGGAATCCCGCAGCGGATGATTCACTAGCAGTCGTCAGATAGTCTTCATCATACGCTCAAAGTTTCTGATGACTGCTGATGACTTTATTGCAGACGATTAAAACGAGAGTTGCTTGCTTGATCCACTTACATCGAGGAATTATCGATTGCGACATTTGAAATCGTATGCCGTATTCTTCCTCCCCCTTTTTTTGTTTTGTTTTGTTGCTGCTGCAGCGAAACAAGTGAACAAATGGTTTGTAAATTAATTGATCAGACCTACAGATGGCGCAACGCTTTATTTCTTTCTATCATCTCTCTCCCTCTCTCTTTATTATTAAACCCCCGTTCAGAAAGTGAGGTTAAATCGCACGGCTGCCATATTTTTCCCAACCAAAACCAAAACATAATATAGTGCCATCACATAGAGTTCAGTTCAGTTCGCAAGGCAGTGTCGCAAGGGAAGTGTAGAAGATTATCTCATCATGAGCAAGACAAATATAACCAACGGATATTTTGGTAAAAAGTGAGTTTCATTCATTAGTATTCATTTATTTAAGTTTACTTATCTGTAATAAAAATGTTTCAGGAAGGAGCCAGTGGTCCCACCACAGGGTGTTCGCTGTCAGAAATGTTTGGAATATGGTCATTGGTCATATGAATGCACAGGCAAAAGGAAATATGTGCACAGGATAACAAGAACCAAATTGCTGAAGAAGAAAATGAAACTGTATGAGATGAATAATGAGAAAACGTATTTATATAATATAGCTAACATATGTACATGTTTATTAAATATATTATTTTCAGGACAACTCCCAAGGAAAGTAATATCAAGGACAAGAAAAAGGGCAAAGATGACAGTCCATCTAGTAGCTCAGATGATGATGAGTCCGACAGTAGTAGTGACAGCAGCAGCAGCTCAGATAGTTCATCATCATCTTCATCCGCATCTTCCTCTTCTTCATCATCTTCTTGATATAAGTTAAGGTTATTTTGTAAACTATTATTTTTCTACTTATATATCAAAGACTGCTGTGATCTTTTATCACATTCTGTAACTGAATTTGTAAATACACTAAATTTAGAAACATATTTAGCAAGATATATATTTGTTGAAGTTTTTGTATAACATGTATAAAATGTACATGTGAGGTACAAAGTAATAATAAATGTTTTTATATTAATCATATTTATAATGGTAATACATTAAACATTTGTATTCCTTTTCAAACAAAATATGTTTACAAATTTGTTGGGACAAAAAAAAACTACATATGTATTGTATAAAAAATATAATAAACATGTTAAACACATAAGAATAAAAATGATTTTTTCTAAAATCCTCAGTCTTCCACATCATTATCCGTCACTGTGTGTATAATGATTTTCCTCTTGGAATCGTAAATGAAGTTGTTGCTTTCGAATACCTTACTCTGGTAGAATGGTTTCAAGTCGTGCACATCAAGTTGTTTCGCTTTATCCTTCAGATCCTTCTCGTCGATCTCGATAGTGAGAGCTTCGCTGGCATTTGTTCCTCTCAAGAACGTCAATTGATCCTGCGCAAGCTGCCTAAGGATATAGAATAGCAGCTCGCTGTGGTCCTTTTTGAACAGCAAGTACCGTTGGAACACCTGAAATGGTGATAATGTAACATAAAGAGTTTTTAAGCAAATACGACTTGATCAACATTACCTGTCTCATCGATTTCATCACGCTGTACTTCTGCGTTTCCACGAAACTCTCCAACATCATTCTCACTGCCATATTGACGTCATCCTCCTGAACATAATCCCTCAGATGGATCCTGGCGTGAGCCTCCGCCATTCTTATCATGCTCTCAATGTGTCTCACCGTGATTGGCAATGATCCAGTTGCCTAGAAAAAAATAACAATTATTTATCTGTTAGTAATAAATTAAATTATTTATAAATATTAATAAACATTCCTTTGTATGTAAACATATATGTAATACATTACGTTTATTATTATAATTGTTAATAAAATAACTCACCAAAGATTCCTGTCGAAGTTGACTGTAAATATTAGCTACTTTGTCTTGATCCATATTTTGGAGTTTTGGATGCACGTTTTGTTTAGCGTAGACGATGTACTTCTTGAGCATCTCTTGAGGAATCTGTAACTCATCAACGTCCGACGAATCTATAAGCTCATCACGCTTGGATGGATGATGCTTGATATGCGAAGAGACGACAAACTTGGCCAAATGCTGGTCTTGGATGGGATCGACTTCATCGCGGACGACGCAGAGGATATCGAAACGGGAGAGAATCGGATCGGAAAGGTTGACATTTTCCGCAAAGGTCATACTGGCGTCGTAGCGGCCGCCCATAGGATTGGATGCGGCAATCACCGAACATCTGGCCTGAAGACTGGTAACTATTCCCGCTTTCGAGATTGAGATGGATTGTTGTTCCATGGCTTCATGGATGGAGGTACGATCCTGGTCGTTCATTTTATCGAATTCGTCGATGAGACAGACACCTTGGTCAGCCAGGACGAGTGCTCCAGCCTCTAGAGTCCATTCTCTCGTAGTCGGATTTCTCCGCACGTAAGCCGTCAAACCAACAGCACTGGCACCTTGGCCGGTGGAGAAGACAGCACGCGGTGCTATTTTCTCCACGAATTTTAAAAACTGCGATTTTGCAGTACCCGGATCACCGCAAATCAAGACGTTTATATCGCCTCTGACTTTGTGTTTCTGCCCAGGATTCTTAGGTTCACCTCCGAAGAGAGCGAGCGCTAGCGCCCGCTTAATGTAATCGTGTCCATAAATGGACGGAGCTACTGACGCTATAATTCTATCCGCAATTCTGTGGTCCTTGCTCATCTTAACGATGGCATTGATGTCATCGTCCGTCAACGATTGGACGATCTGCTTACAATCTTTTACTACCAAATGATTGGCGAAGATCACCGTGGAAAACACAGGGAATCCCTGCTCCGTATTCAACGAACCATCGTAGTTATTCGTATACACTCCGGTAACGTCTACTTCATCTCCCGGCTTGCAGCGATCACACAAATCTGCCAATAAGATGCACTCTTTTGATCGTGGGACGCGACCTGGCGGGATCCTCCCCGGCGACTCTTGTAACGTGACTTTTTGGTAGTTTCGATATACAGTTTGTTCCATATTAATCTAAATAAAAATATATCATTTAGTAATTTAAAAAAACGAGCAACTTATTTTACGGATTAAAATCCAATAGGAAACTTTAACGATTTATTCTTAAAAAGCTACCGCGATCCACTTCTCTACTTAAAAAAAGTTATTTTTGTCTTATTCGAAATCACAATTTTTTTTAGCTATTTGAGATAGCCAACGCTGTCTAACAGATAAATACCGAAAGGGCGACAGAAATTATGGCATTAATAAAACTTACCATAAAAGGTCCCATACTTTGACACTCAGGACAAGAACCTGGTTGAACTTCAGCATTCTGGGACTGTACGAAAGGGCCTAAAATAAAGCCACACTTGTTACAATCATATTTTACCACAGACAACTGTGGCAATACTCCGGTGGTAGCAGTAACAACACCCAATGTTCGCACTAATTGATTTACGTGCAACTTCCTAAAATTATAATCTTTTAAGACTTCGAACTGAAACTTGAAGAACGATGCTCACCTAAAAGTTCGCAACTCCTCGATAAGGGGCAAATCTGAAATTCGTACATGGATTTCGTTGGTGACGCGTTCGTAGCTTGGGAAAATTGTGAGAACAATCTCTTTAGCTACTTCATTGAAAATCTCCAACATTTGGAAGGGCGCCTCTGGCAAGAAATAAGCTAGTACGTGCTCTTTATTGGCTAAATTTGGAAATTCGACGGTGAAACTGGACTGATTATTTTCGCACATTCGTCGCACCCTGTCTTTATAAACATAATGGCCCTTGCTATTCACATATGTCCTTAGGAAATTCTTGAATCTGTTTACGATTTCAGTACGCGGCCCAATCATGCAGACCCATTCCTTAATTGTGTAACCTTTTGTATCTTCTAGATTCTCAATAGACTCAATTAACTCTGTGTCCTCTGTTTCACCAGTGGCTGCTTTCTCTGCCATCCTTCTTTTCTTTTGCCTTGGATCCTACATCAATTAAAATTATATTTAAAAATTTAACTTTCTTAAACTTTGCAAAGCTATATAAGTTATTAATATTGTACCTCATCCTCATCTGCTTTATCATAAAACAGTTCTCTATCATCTCTCCGTAGAATGCCCATTTCTCTTTCCCTCCTTCTAATCTCAGCCTCTGCTGCCATCCTATCACCCTGTGACATATCATCATATTCATCATTGTCCAATATATCTGGATCATATCTATCCAAAGCTGGCATAGGACGATAATCACTAAAATAAACCAAAAGAGTTACATATTGGATCAAGAAATTTGGAAGTATCTTGCATACTTTTCCATGTTATCCTCAAACAATCCTTCTCCATCATCTTCCTCCATCTCATCCAACTGAGACATATCACCCAGCAAAGCCCCTTCATCTTCAAATGGCTCAAAATCCTGAACTGGGGATGTCATCGCCGATCTAGCGTCCACCGCTGAACGCACAGGGGAAGATTCAGATTCCCTCTATAAGTTATTTAAACATATATTATTATAATACTGCTCAAACAAATAAAAAAAAGTAAATTGCATACCCTTCCAGACATGATGTATGATTTTTGCTGTCCTTTATCTTTAACTATCTTATTAGAATAAAAATAATGTACAAATAAACGACTTGTTGCTGCTTTTGATTCCTAACCAATGCAAAAGTAAACGTTTATTTGGCGGGAAAATGTTAGTTACTTTATAGTTTTTCGTTGGTATGTTGGTAATATTATGTTCGGCGAAACTCTGTTTTTGCAGATAATTTCAGCTTTATTATTGAAGTCATAATTTCAAAACAACATAACCCCTAATAACATAACCAATAATATAAATAAATACGATGGCAACGGATTACGAGGAACAATATATTATGTTGGATTTTCAAGATAAAATCGAACAAAGTTTCTTCGCCAATCCAAATATGTTCTTTAAAATGGCCAAACTTGACACCAGCAAGCCATATGTGCAAATCAGTGACCAGGTTTTCTCAGGTAAGGTACATGAACTTTAAAACAGTTGTTTAAAAATTAATGTTATCTAGGTAAATACGAGGATGCTTACTTTGGCACAAACCTTTTCTTTAAAGAGGAAGATCAAGCAAATGCTGCATCATCATCTATGTACTATAAGAAGACCCCCATTAATCTCAAATGTATTGGCAAAACCACCAAAGTTCTGTCCCTTACTTGGCAGGAGGTGCCTGTAGAAGAACTAGTCAATGTGAGCAAAGATGATTTAAGGGATATTGTTTTTAAAGAATCATATGAAAAAGTTCTTGATAAGATACAAAATGGAAGTTTGAATATTGAAGAAAATTTGGTAGAAAAGGATATTAAAGTGGATATGATTGTGTCCAAACATATTATTAAGGAAGCAAAGTTGAAAAAGAAAAATAGTCAGCAATTAGATCATAATCTACCTGTCATACCTGAACTAAATTTACAAGAAACTGTAGAAGAGGTATGTGAAGATGCCATGGAAACTGACACTTTAAACAGAACTGGATACAATGTGCTGAAAAACAGTGTTGTTTATCCGATTCGTGAACCGGAATACTGCTTGAAGGATATCACTGCTTTGAATAATTACAATGATTTTATGATACTGAAACAATTGCATTTGCGAAGGCTTGATTATTCAAAAATTAGCTTAAGCATGGGACAAAATATTGAAAAGTATGTGGACGTGAAAGCGTCCATAGAGGACGGAATAATTGGAATGAAACCAGTAAAGGAATTAACGGAAAACGATAAGGTCGCGTTATTTGGTTTAGATAATTTCCCAAATCTCTCCGTTCCCATGCAGCTTACGTTGTTGGTAGAGCATTTGAAGCTGGAGAAGAAACATCTGAAGACTTTGAGTAATGATCAGCGGAATGTTAAGGACGAGTTTGGAAGGACTCCAAAGAGGAGGTACAGGTTGTTGAAGTCGTTTGTAAAAGATTTGGAGTATTACTTGTTTATTCGGATGAAAAATAATAAATTAATTTTAAAATAATATTTTGTTTTTATTTATTCATAGTCTGCAAAATTGGTACGAGTACAGTTAATTGCAAGCAGATATTATTTGTAATTAATAACGTTTTTTGTAAATGTTATATATAAAATAACATTTAATATTGTACATCTTATATTGTTTAATACAATTTGATGTTTACGCTTGAATTTCTAGCAGCTGGAGATGCGCGCGCGCTCTTTTCATTAGTATGGATAAAAAATGGCTCGTCGTTTGCGTGTCGGTGGGGACGTTAGTCTGTTTTCCCGCTTATTTTCATGTCATTGATCAACCAAAATGTTAACCGTATCCTCTGACACGCTGTCCCAAAATGCCAACAAATTGGACAAATTCATTAAGCTGCGAAAAGCCGGCGAAGGTACGTATGGCGTTGTGTACAAAGCTAAGGATAAAATCACTGGCAAATTTGTGGCTCTAAAGAAGATGAAACTGGACAGGTGAGTTGCTGCTTAGCTCTCTGCAGATGATGATGGGGACTCTTAAGGTAAGTTGAATCTGTGTGTTTTACGTTTCATTTTAACATAGCCGTAGCACCACATGATTCTGCTTACTTTGCTATCCCACTAAACAACTAATGTATTCCACCCTTACCATTGGAGTTTCATGACTGAAAGTGAGCTTCTTTTAAAGATATGAGAATCGAGACTCAGAGGGCATACCTTCTACAGCCATCCGGGAAATTTGCCTTTTAAAAGATTTGCATCATTCAAGCATTGTGGAGCTCCTGGATATCATATGCGGGGATCAAAAGTCAATATATTTGATCTTTGAATATCTTGAGTTGGATTTGAAAAATTATCTGGATTTATCTAAGGAGCGTTTGCCAGAGGATTTAATCAAGGTTTGTTGATTATAGTAATTACTTGCTATAATTATATAATACATTTTTTCCAGAGCTATGTGAAGCAATTATTTGAGGGTTTGGCATACTTACATTCACATAGGATTTTGCATCGCGATTTGAAACCACAGAACATACTGATAGACAAGGAAGGGCACATCAAGTTAGCAGATTTTGGTTTGAGTAGGTGTTTTATGGTCCCGATTAGAGCTTACACGCACGAGGTGGTAACGCTTTGGTATAGGGCTCCTGAATTGCTGCTGGGATCAAAGATGTATGGACCTGGAGTGGACGTGTGGAGTTTAGCTTGCATTATGGCTGAGATGATCACCAAGAAAGCCATATTTACCGGTGATTCCGAGATCGATCAGGTATATAAAATGTTCAAGATTTGCGGCACACCTAACGAATCAACCTGGCCGGGATGCACGAGTCTTCCAGATTACCGCAGTTCTTTCCCGAAATGGGAACCTCAGGATCTGTCCGATCATATCGATTTTCACACACCTCAGCAGAAAGATTTTTTATTGGTAAATGCAATATACGCTCGATGAAAACTTTCACACAATAATGATTAATTTCAATTTCAGAGCATACTAGAGTACAATCCGGCTAAGCGATTCACTGCTAGAGAAGCCTTGAAGACTGATTACCTGAAGCATACGAAACTGACTTCGCCCGAGCTGCAATCCTTCGAAGGTTTTTCGCAAAATTAACCGTAGTTAATCTACATTAATTGAATTCGAAACACATAGAGCCGGGATCTAACTTTAAGATAGTCGTTTCGAATCAACAATTTTCTAAAATCCTAATGGATTGTATGTTTATTAATTTTAAGTAATTGAAAGATGACATTTTTTCTCCTACATATATTTGAATCATTATGACAAAGGATTGTATATATTGGATACTAAATAAATCGATTCTATTTTTTAAAACTATTTATTGAACTATTTATTATGATACTTACATCGTTGGAAGTGGAAGAAGAGAAATCTGCAAAGTTAAGAAGTTGTGATTCAAATTGGGCCCGCGTACGCTGAAATCAGAACTGATGAAAAGACGGAGGCGGATATGGATGTAAAAGAAAAACCATGTCTGTCTGTCATTTTCATAATGCTTTTAAATATATTGCATAGTTCAAATTTACAATAAAACATAATAATGTTATTATAAAAAAACCAAGCCACTTGGATAGTAGATTTACATTCAAATATATTATCTTTCTTTTCCTCGTACTTGTGTGTAGTGTAGTATTTATATGTGTGTTTGTAGTGTTTTGTGTCGTGAATGAATGTTGATAAAATAAGGGGGAGGAGCTACGGTCCGACCGCCCACCCGCGTGTGTGCGAATCATCACAACCCGGTATATCAGTTTATCTCATATCATTCATCGATTGTTTCCTTCCCATCCATCGGATTGATCGGCATCATCAAATATTTTACACATCCGCATTTTAGAAGACAGTTATAATTTAAAAAAAAAGAACATACTACAGACCGGCGTGCAGACTCTGCACGAGTATATAAAATAAATCACGTTTGAAAAAGTACAGTAAGAACTCTCTGCACGGTAAGAAACAAATAATAATTACAAATAATAGTAATAATAATTAAACAAAAAAATAATAATATAGGTTTTCGCCCTATAGGGAGTTCGCAGTCTGTGCTTTTTCTCTCCTGTATGTCTATATATATATATAAATATAATATGTTTTAGTCGGGGCACGAGTCTGCACGAGTGCGTCCACCGGAAATTAACGATGATGATAATGACGACTTATATATTCTATTTATGCCCTTAACAAAATAAAAAAAATTGAATATGCAGAATCTAACGGACGACGACGATGGTAATAACAAATAACAATTGGAAACAAAACAAATATGTATGCGTGAAAAATTACACAACCCCAGAATATATATGAGATTGCGAGTAACGAACGCTCGCAACCTTTCTTCTTTTCCTCTTTTCATCCAAGTTTCTTTATTTTCTTGTCGGCAAAATACGTGTATACTGTTTTTTAAGCCTCTTAACGAGACGGGCTGTCATAATGAAGCAAGACAGACAGAAACGAAATAATGATAATAAGATTAAGCATATATCTAAATTATTTAAATATATAATATATATTATTTATAATATATTTTCATTATTTTTTTACGTTTTTTTTCTCATAATAATCTTAGTTACAATGGTATTTGCTTAATGAATATCTTCTATATGTATGTATATCCATTTTTTTCTTTCTTTATCTTTGAAACAAACAAAAAAAAAGAAATAATAAAATAATTATAATATAGTTTGATGAGTCAAGGTCAGGCCGAGGTCGTCATCGAAGATCATAAAATATAATGTTTGTATGTACAATCACAACCTGATCGCGTCAGCGCGTGTCGACGGACAATCTGATTGGCAGGACGCTTGCGAGGGGGGCGGGCGTGGACGGGTATTCCTATTTTTTTTTCTGGAAGTACGTGTTTGGACGAATTCACATTTATTTTTATTTTTTTGTATCATGTCAATAGAAACGACGGCAATTTTCATCATTGCATATTGGCATTCGGTTTGACCAGCGATCCCAGGCCACGCCTACCGCCCCCTAACAGAAATCAGTGAATTAATATAACGAAAATAATAATAGTAACAACAACAGTGGACCTAAATTTGGAATGAGTGAGACCATCACAGATTTCCATATAACATATGTTATTCTTTTGCATTTGGGGACATTGAAAATTATACGTATGGGTTAACTTAATGAGCGCGCGCGCTACGAAGCTCTCCTATCTATTAGTTTATATGTTTACATTACATATACTGTATTTATAGTTATATATATATGTATAAATGGGTGTGTATGTTGAATAATTTTTTGCCACTGATAATTGCGCACAAAACATAAACAAAATTAACTGAATATAATAGAAACTGTCCTGTGGTTCCGGTTCGTGAGGCAACTACGGAAATGTTAATTTATCTCTCTCTTCATTAATAAGGCATATTCTTCAATTTCTTTCTGAAATTTTGATTTGTCTGTGGCTGGCAGATCCCTGACGGTTTTCTTCATATTCTTTTCTTTTTTTTTTAGAATTTCAAATTTCTTTTCAGGCAATGTTCGGTATATAAGGCTACAAGCTTCTTCTCGTTTTACTGTGGTCTACGACATTTTTTTGTGTTAACTTTAAGGCACCTATATTCTCTCTCTAAGTTGATTCTTTTCCTAGTCAAACAAAAAGAGAAAACAAACGAAACGAACAACAAATAAAACGATATTTTCGATCTTTAAATTATATCTATACAAAAATACATATAGACGAGAGCAAACAATCCACGGTTCGCGTTTTATCTTGTTTACGTTCTTTTTTTGGTAGCTATGGTAATGTAGAAGCATAGCCACTCCCCGGTGTTCTTTTGTTCATAATAATATCATTAATTCCTGAGATACAAAGAAATGTTGCTGTTGCCGTTCCTCTCTCTATCTATCTCTCATTTTAGCCATTTCTTTTTTTTTGCCATAAAAACAAAACGAAACCTCAAAAAAGTAAACAGTCTCACACTCACTAATCCTCTCGCACTTTTCTCTCTCTCTGTGTGTCTACTTATACAACCTAGTATTTGCTTTTAGTATAATCATATTTGTTTTATTTATTTTTTGGCACAGTTTGGGAGACGTCGGTTGTTTTTTTTTTATCTAAATTAATTATGTCAATAACATTAATTACAGAAACATAGGAGGCGCTAAATGCCCTAGAGATTGCGCGATGTCTGTCGTCTTTTGTCTGCGGGTAACTGTAACTTAACTAATGGCGATAAATACTGATTGCACCCATGAATATGTTACCGATCCGCAATTGGTTTGAACAATTCGGTTGCCATGGACTAAACGGAGAAGCGAATCGGCAATTGCGCACCGGAAACGCCCGACATTCGACGAAGTATATATAAATATATTTTCTATGGCACGAAATACCAATAACAATACAAATAGAGTAATTATTTAAAAAAATCCACATAAGCTCCAATAATATTAAATATGAGAAAGCTACTGCCCAGTGTAACTAGTTTTACAATTTGAAGCCCAAACTAACAAAATAAATTGGTAATGGAAAGTTTACCAGAGGTTGGTGCGGGATGTGAATTTGGAAAAAGTTGTAAACGATGCGTGAATAAATAAAGAAAGAATTGCATGGACTCAACCAGTCAAAAGAATAAGTTTTAATGACTAAATAAAAAATAAATTAATCGATAAATATGTGCGTGTGACGATGCATGTGTAAACGCCCAAAAACGATCGCGTGCTTTGAATTGACACACTAATAACATCGAAATTTTTCAATAAAAAAAATAAGTTTAAATAATAATTAAGAAGAGAAAAAAACAATAGAACTTTCCATTACCAACTCATCATATCTTCCTTAAATCAGTTAATTACTCCCATCCTTGCTTCTTTGGCGCAGTCTAAGAATGGGTCGATTTGAAGCATTTGATGAAATGCAATGTGCTCATGACGATTGCAGCAAATCTGATTATAATACTACTAGTACAGCCTTCGCAAAATCAGGTCAATTGCAGCGGGCGGTTTCTTCCTCGCCGCCTCTCCACATCCGACACAACTTTTGCCGAACGATGATTTCATATATGTAATAAAAAAACAATCAAAACAAATGCCAGAAAATTAAGATAAAACATACTGTACTTAAAGTATTTACAAATAAACAAAAATTGGTACAAAGTGCATCATGGTTAGGCCCAAAATTTCGACGGGCTCCGTCATAAGGCAAGGAGATACCCTCATCCGCGTTTCCAAAATAATAATCATAATAATAATCAGTTTTCCTTTTATTCCCTAAATATTAGACATTAAATAAAATCGCGCGCCTTGTTTTCTTCCTTGAGCAATCAACAAAAGTCGCATCTCTTTCCGCTAATTATAATATAATATTTTGCATTTTATTCTTTTATATAATTTTTTTTCGCTAGGTTTTGTATTAATTATTTATTTATTTATATAAGGCATACTTTTTCTTTCATTTCATATATATATATATATATACTTATATATAATATATATCTTTTTTGTTTTTTTTTTCAATTACTCACTAAATAAACTATGCATAGAAATCGGAAGTAAAATTCAGTTACACGTCGATATTGAGACTACTTATAAATAAAAAGAATGTGGTTCCGGATTGCAGGCTGCTCCGGATATCGTAATATCACTGCGGGCGTGTCTTGATTTTCCTTCTGCTTTGTCTTCTTTTTATTATTATCATCAACATCCTCTTTTTTTGTTTTTTCTATTTTTTGTTTTGTATGGGTGGAGAGATACCGTTTGCTCCGCGCTCCACCCAAGCAATAATTCTAGAATAAAACGTATATAACAGAGACAGAAACAAAAATGCACTGCTTAAGTCCACTTCGTAAATTATACAAACATAATAATAAAAAATAGTAGTTATAATAATCATTAATAAAATTAGAAAAAAATAAAATAAAACTTGATTCTTTACCAGGTCCCACTCGAAAATAATTATTTACACACTCCATATCAAAATATACATAATATATGCCATATATATAGATAGACTCTAGTTGTTTGATTGATATCTTAATATTATTTTTTCTTTTTTCTGTCTTATATATGTTTATATATATATATAAATGAGAGAGATATAGTTGAGAGGGGTGGGCATTTGGGGTGTATTATTTCGATAGATTGGTTTGGTGGCTGCCAATCAATCAAACAAAACAACACTGCTTGGTGTGTCGCATGAAGCACTCGTGAAAGAACGTTGATCCCGTTGCGTCGTCGTCCATTGGTGGTAATTGTAGTTGTCCGTAACGTATATATGATGATCGGTCATATGTCATTGGCCAATGGGCCGCAGTCCACTGTCAGTACCTGATATCCATCTGGTCGGTGTACATCTGATCGTAATCAAAGACGAGCTGCTTTATGTGCGACAGCTTGTCATGCAGGTACTGGAACCGATTTTTAGCATGTGTTGCTTCTCTATCCTTCTTGGTGTCTTGATACTCCCTCAGTATCTGTCGTTGCAAATCCTTATGACATAACATCAACTATTATATTGTTGAAGTGGTAATATATGATTGTACATTAAAATGTGTACCGTGAAAGGTACTATTATAGTGAAACGCTAATAATAAATAGAAAAATAGATATGTAACTGTAACTTACTTTATATTGTTCAGTAGATGTATCCTCCGTCTTGAGTCTGCCCTCGAGTTGAGTAAATCTATTTGAAACTTTTTCAACAACGCCATGCAGTTCTTTATACTCCTCGTAATGTTTATTAAAATCCGTTTTGTAACGGCGACGCTGCTCGATGTCCTTAATAATGGTATATTCTCTGTAGACGTAAGATGGATGGATGAGCGATTGTCGAATGGAACAGAAAAAAACTACTCACTTTACATAATCGGGAAATTCGTCGGTTTGCGGAGGCAGCGCTATCCTATCTGATTGGCTGTCCGGGCTAACGCGCGCGATCTTGTTTTGCGTGCTTGAGGAAACACGTCCGCTGCCGTAGTGGCGATCCTTCTTGCCATCCTCAAACTTAGAGCGGCTGCCATTAAGCAGACCATTGTTGGCGGCCGTCCTGTCTACTAGTACTTCCTTGGCGGCGTATTTGTTGTTGTGGTTATTCAACTGCATATGGGAGACTGGTGGAGGCGTTTCGCGCTTCCTGCTCGGCGGTGTGGTAATGGCGCTGCTGTTTGTGGTAGTGGTGGCGATGGTTGTCGTGGTGTGGTGGTCATCTTCGTCACTGATCGACCGCTTCTCATGGTAATTATTGTGATGATGGTTGTTGTGGTAGCCGTTGGTGTTTGGTGATTCCCTGCTGCGTGGGTTCATGTTGCTGGTATCACGAGAGTCGATGGCGGTGCGACGCTGGCTGTTGTTCTGCGGATACGTGGACGTTTGTTCTGTTGGTTTTTGGAAGTGTGAGACACGCGGCTTCTTTGTGGGTAACCCGTCGACGCCGTCAAAATAGCCAGGCCTCTTCGTAGATGACCCCACTGCGGAAGAGACCGGCAGCGGCGGTGATCCCGGATGAGTACTGGTAGGGGAGTGGCCGCTGCCCGAGCTGCCTCCATCACTGCTACCAGGCGGAGTTAAATTCTGTGGCTTTCGCCTGCAAACACCATCATAAAATGTCAGTCAAATTTTAAAACCTACCACGTATATGTAATGAGTAGAAAAATTCTGAAAACATTGCTGATGTTTCCAACAAACTTGTCAGTGAATATGAATGATACAATTTAGCAGAGTTCAATATGAGGAGGTAATTGATAATGAGTAATTGTCTTTCAATTAGTTGAATAAAATTTAAATATTAATCTAACCTTTTGAGCACTTGTCTTTCCGAATCAGTATAGAAAGGCCAATCCTCGTGGACATCGTTCCACATGGCCCTATTCAAATGGTAAGAGTTGTCCTTCAGACAGGCGATCTGCTTCAGCACGGACATCATTGCGTTTTTCTCACGTAAACCGTCTGTAAATATTACAATGAGTTATACATTAATATTACAAGAATGAAAGATGTAGTTCCAGCTAACCTTTTGTGAGGCGATCGTAGAGCTCAATCTTCTTGAACGGCCTCAGCGCGAGCATATGGATCATACGCTCTTTGATCGGCCTTTTGGCGATATCCGGTATAGACGGTTTGTTCTGAGGCTTCGAACTGCTGACCTGGTTACTACCCAAACCGTTGGAAAGCCCGTTCAGAGATCCTGGCGACGATTTATTGTTATTGGACATTATAGGCAAGCCACCACCGCCCCCCGTGTACGGCTTGGTGAGTGCGTCCCTCATCGACATAGTCTCCTTGCGAGGTGGAGGCGGCGGAACTGGCCTGCCCGGCATATGTTTCACCTTCACCTTCCTGCCTATATCTGTTTGGTTCATCTTAATCTCACGAGCACTGCAAAAAAACAAATCATTAGAAATGAACTTTTTTTATTAAGACGAATCAGCATACCATTTGTTTTTATGATTCTCTTCGGCAACGGACATGCGTTGTCTGGTGGTCTCGTAAACGTCGTCGTTCGCGAGGATGCGGAGCTTGTGCTGAACTGGTCCGAGATTGGCAAGATTTCCACGGAGAGGCTGCTGGACACACTCCAAGCTGCCGCCAGGACCTTCCATGTCCGACGTGCTCGACATGGAAAAGTTGAACGAATTGTTACCATTGTGGTGAGACGGGAACGACAATTGCTGCAAGAAAAGAAACACAACAATCGGGATTAATGATGAGGCTAAAGAGCATACAAAACATAATGTCAGCCAATCTTGCAATCATTCAGGAATAAATAAATAAGATACTGCGCAGCTTCCACAATTTAACACTCATTGTGAACTACAGCATCAATGGAAAGTATCGTTGCATCCAATTACCAAAGTTGATCTTGTTTGCAGCGCATTACGCCACTTACATAAATCATCGCGTGCGCCTCCGAAGTTGACGCACGCAGAATAATTGGGCGACTCTGAAAATCGTCATTGATCTTAACTTAATTTCCGATACAAATACCTATTTGTTCCTGAATGACAACGCATCATAACTTCTCATTGACACTTACCCCTTCATTGCCAAGGAACTTTATCGTCGGTGCTTTATTTAATTTATTCTGTAACAAAGAAGAAAATGTAAACAAGATTTACTTGAAGGAAGTTGTTTTCCTGCAAATAGAGACCACCATTTCAATACACACAAAGACAGTTCATCAACATTTTATGGTAATTTTTCATTTTTCAAATAAAAAAGTTTTTTACATTACTACAGTAGCAAGATTTAATACACTAAGCGGCCAGAAATATAAATAGAATATTACGCATTTACTATAACAATGGTATGAATAGATATATCGATTATTGAACTTTATAATTGTAGGACATTGGATATTCCTGATTATTTGATATATATTTTTGGACAAAAAATAATGATAATATATTAATTAGACATCGTGTTTAATCAATTTTCGATTAAGTTTGATCGTCTTGAAAGTCTTTGACGTCCAATTATCGTTTGCGTAATAAACATTAAATGGGTTGATTATATTTCAATTTGCTTCAAATAACATTTTGAATTAAATCTGGTGAACTACTTCCGGTAAGAAAATTCGCAAGATCAAGGATACATTTAGCATGACGAAAGTCAAATAATTATTTCTAAATGTATATATATATAACGCTATTCGCGGTTTACATGAGAATCGAATACTTCTGTAATATTTCGGAGTTCATAATCATGCAGGTTTTTTCAATAATTGTTAGATATTACGCAGTTCGTTACGCAATCCCAAGAAAGGATAGCTTCCTGGTAGATCAGACAAAGATAATGTCGTAATATAATAATCGCGACTTATTCAATTAACCGTATCTTTATGTAACCGAAGTTTGTAACAGCGTAATCTGATTAAACGCCGTGGACATTTTCGAAATGTTGTGTCCCAACATTTACTTATTTACTAATAAGAGATTAATCGTTTGAGCATATTTCGAACACATTACTCGGTAACTACCAGGTAATTGAATAAATCTTGTGCGTAATGACACCAAGTGATAATTCCATAAAATTATCCTTGTGACGTGTTATGGGAGCGGGAAAAACAGAGCAGCGACGCTACGGTAGTTCCCTCCAATTCCCCGCTTCCTGGATAATTACGTTCGGCTGGATGTCGTAACGAATCGCTCGTTAGGGACCTTTGGAAAATATCGAAAACACATTACGTCTATTTCTTTTGTAATGCGCGATCGGTTCGTACGAGCTCGGCGACCTCCTCGAGATTGGATCTCGTAAAGGTCAAAGCTGTTGCGAAGGAGAGAGCATCGTCGAATGGATGGATTTCCGGCCATAATCAGAGTCCTGCTTTTTGGAGGTCTCATGTTGGGAGAGGTGTGGCATTTCGGGATTCGGCGACAACATTAAATGCCATGGGAACTTGTTCTTTTTTCCTTCAATCTTAGTATCGTTTCTTTCTTTCCTTTTTGCTTTTTGGGGTCGCAAATGAGTTGATTGGTTAATCGCGCAGTGAGTGTGAGTGCGTGATCGAAGGTCGACGTGTGAACGTCGAACGAAGGAGCGCGCGCGACGCGAAGCCCCGCGGCTGTCACTTGCCATCGCCCTTGACCTCAACACACATTCACGCGACGACTATAGGCCACTTGATATTTAACATGATCGCCCGATTTTTCGGCCGCCCAGCAACCTCTGCACAATGACACATACCTTGATACACATCGAACGACACCCCAAACTGAACATGCCCTTCTAAATTATTCATGAAACAAATAGTATCATCATTTAATAGTCGGAATTCCCCTGTTTCAGCGCGCTTAGGATACAATGCGCCACTACAGGATATCGACAATTACGTTCTACATTCCTGAGATCATCAAAGCATTGCAATGAGCAATCCGAAGGAGTAACATAAAAAAATGAGAGGAAGGAATGAGCTCAATTTCGTTTATTTTGGCCTACTTTTTAAAACACAATTGATTAGGAGAAACAAAGAACCACGACCGGAACACGTGATCTTGCGTATTGCATAGATGACGTTTCTGTTGTCAAGTTGAGGGACTTCCCTGTGGAATCGCGCGACCGGGGCACGGAACTATCATGTTGCAAGACCCACTTTGCGTTCTCTCTCACATACACTCTTTTCCTTTCGAGGACAACGAAATAAACGAAACGAAACCGAAGGGAAACCGGCAGTAGGATGTGAGGAGAATGAGCTGGTGCGAAGACGTGAACCTAGATGCCTCGGATGGACGTAAATCCTCGAAGTTACTTTCACGTCCAGCGAAAGTGGTCATTTTATAATTACGTGAAACGCGCACGAATTTCGCTGCTTTTTCCAACGACAATAACATCTTTTTTTTCTATTCATTCGTTCGATTACAAAATTGAAGGAAATATTCCTCGAAGTTGCGACCAATCGAAAACTACACGTGCGAGAAATCGATGGAGAACGCGCTACAAACATGCTTAGTTTATGAAAATTGAGAATATTGGGATCGTAGAACTGTTAATATTCAATGAACTTTTAGCACCTTACATATTAGTACTTAATATTAATTCTATATGTTTGTAAATCTAAGATCTAATATGTCGATTTAATAGAGAAAATTGGAGAATAATTACAAATCTGAAACACTTAGTATTTTCTAAATTAGTACTTTGAAAAAATCCCTACAAATTATTATGATCATTTGACATCAATTAAAATATTGATTCTTCTTTTTTTCACAACATTGTTTCATATCCATATTATCAGATCATCATTGTTTATTGTCTCCATAGCTGCCATATCTATACAAAATTAATTTTGGCCACAATTGTTATCAATATTATTAGTTGATTGTGGCACTGAACTTTAAACAAACAGAAAATAAGTAACGTCGCTCAAAACAAAGACTCCCAAAATGAATAAACAGATTCAAACTCTTTGTAAATTTCCAGTCTAAACTTTAACTCTATATTAGGTCATAAGCAAATACTTTCCTTTTATACACTTTACAAAGCAGACATTATATACTTTCATCTATATATACCAAAATTTTCTGAAAGTATTTAGACGACCATCTTTCGGTTCCTATTTTGTTATTGTTGTTTTTTTTTTCGACAAAATGCGCTTGATATTCGACGACCTACTTTCTAATTTAAGGAACCACAAGAATTCAAATAATCAACCGCAACCGAAATGAAACGGCATTCAACACAATGAGCCAATCGAAATATTTAGTTGCAATTGCTAATTGAAACATTACAGCATAATATAATGGATATTCAAGCATTTTAATGATAAGATTATTTCTTTTCTATTGATAACTGTCAAACTTTTAAATTATGTGTTGAATCAAATTGCTTTGGTAAATTTGAAAGTTGCTCAATATTGACGTTTACATAACAACATTTCACTGATTTTAAATGATTTAAAGAGTTTTTAGTATTAGTATTTATTGGAGGTTTCCATCATAACTGTCTATCGAATTATTGTATTCTTATCCTTCTTATTTATTATTATTATTATATTATTAGCACCTTTTAGTCTAACAAATCGTATAAACATTGTGGGTTAAAACAACGTTTCCTATTTTCTTTTAGCATTCGCCGAGTTCTGATTGCACATAGGAGTACTTTCTTGCTAGTAATCCAGATATTTGAATTTAAACGCAACTTGTTCGGATAAGTGGAAAATTTTTAAATGTTGACAGCTGTCAAACGAAGTGACAACAACGTTGTCGGATTGCCGAGGGCTAACGGGACACGGGGGATGTTATGAAATCAAATCAAAATCGACGGATTTCGTTCCGTGCGATCAATTTCTTGCACTTGCACAATTCGTTAATGGGTTGCGTCAGAGACGCGAAAAGAAAGTCTAAACGAATCTAAGTCGCCCGAGAGTCCGGTTTCGAAACGAACGGCAACGTTGCCAGAATGGCCAGCGCGCGCGAAACAAGGAGAAACAATAACAACAATATTTGTTGCCAATAATAATAACAATATATTTTGTTGTTGCATTCACTTGTGTGCAGAATTTAACACGAAAATTCGGTTCGCCAATTGTGAAACATGCGGGAGTTGCGAATATGTGTCAATGATACATAAATTGTTGCTCGCGGTGTCACATAATTTGTTTCCCTTGCGCAACAGAAATTTAAATCGCAGGAGCGTGCGACACAGGATTCGAAGAATTAAAAAATGTATATATATATATATATATACACCGATTTTAATCTTATTTTTAGAATGCGTAGTACGATTTCGAAAAAAAATGAAACAAATAATTAAATAGAGTCGAGTGAGGTTCGGGCGAGCGCGAGACAATCGGCACATTTAAATGTCAGGAAAATGAAACTGGTTTTGAATGTTATGCGCGTTATTCGTAGGGAATGAAAATATATAAAAATGATACGGCGACAGCTGACCGATCTGCAGATTGTCAAAGTTTGACAGTTCGCCGTTGGCGTGCGGATCTAGGTTATGTTTCAATATTTTGACGTTATGTCATTGAATGGGATATTTTTTTCGATATTTTGTTGTAAAATATGGGATCAGATTGCGAAAAGCTCGATGTTGCTCTATCTGGTTCGAGTTTTGGCTGCTTCTGTCAAAATTGGTTATTTATAAACAAGGGGGCTCATTCCCTTTTTCCGTTTGCTTTGGTTTTCGCGATTTTTTTTTTTGGCGATCGGCAGCTGTGCAGGGGCACGGATCTGGAGGGCCTAGATGTGTGGGCGGTCGCGGGGGTGGTTCGCGAATTAGGGGCAACAATATGTTTGCAGACGTGGCGTGAGGAGAGATCGGGGCCGGGGGAGCCGTGGCGAGAGAGTATCGATGGCCGCCGACCGATCCAGGCTCTGTGGCCGAGGCAGGCCCGTAGACGGAGCGACGGCGGGGCCCAGGTCCCGGATCCAGCCGCCCCCGGACATGGATTTAGGTTAGTTCGGGATGCCCCCTGGGTAAATATGGCGACTTATCTAACTCACGAGCTCGCTAAATGCATATGTCCATTCTTGGCCCCCCTGGTCACGGCATTGTTCGCTGCCGCCGTCGCCGCCGTCTTGCCATTTTACACACCATATATACACACTCACATATACGTGTGCACACACACATATATATATATACATGTATTATTTTTTTTCTAGGCCCCGTGAGCGAGACATATGAACTGCATGAAATTCGGTACTTACTTGATTCCTAACGAAATCCTCGATGGCCCGCAAAGCGGAATCCGTCAGCTTCACAAATATCAAATCCTTATTTGCACCAAAACTTTCTTGCGATGATAAACCATACTGAACACCTGGACAGAGAGCCGCCATTTCTGTCTGTTCACTCTCGAACTCGGCTACTGCCAGCTGACGTACAAGCACTGATGCCAAATTGAAGTTGTGAACGATCCTCGTTCTGCAAGTGCACTGAACCTCACTGAACTGCAACCACTGCAACAGTATTTTCGAAGGATAAAAATATTTGGTTATATATACGGAAATGCTATGCTATTGGCTTAAAACAAGTTTTTGGGGTTGTAAAAGACCCAACCGTTTATTTGCAGTGCAATAAACAATCCGAAACCGTAATTTGCAACACTGCGATCAGGATCAAACGGTTCCGTGTTGCACCGCTAGATCCCGTACTAAGTACTCTCTTTCCATTCGCCAATCTCCTCCCACCACCAAACCAGAAACACCCGTCGGGACTTTTTGAATCATCCTGTGAAATCATATTTTTTACGTTATTTATCCTATGAAATTACAAATATCTTAACAAATTATCGATAACTAACATTAATTAAATTAGTTGCCAATATTATTGTCAGATTTATGTTTAACTTAACATAATCCTGTTACAATATTTAACAATTTTACATTTATTTAACAATAATAATTTTCAATTAATCTCATTTTAGTTAAATCTATATGAGATGTCCAGAATTAAGTTTTATCACCGATTTTCTGCAAATTAACTTTAAAAATAATAACTATAACTAATTTTATTTAAATTTATCTGTTTAGTATAGAATTAAGATTAATAGCAAATTTTATTCTATTATTTTACTCATAATTTATTGATATTTTTTTTCAAATATTTATTATCCGATCATATTTTGAATTTGTTTTCAGAAAGTTTACCATAACTTGTAATGTAAATTTTAAATTTCCTACTAAAGCTGTTGCCTGAAACATTACGATATTTCATTAAAAATTAAAACAAAGTTTAATTTAATTCTTGTGTGCTATATTTGCCAAATTGTCTATCTGCAATACTTCATAAAGAATTTACTTTCATATGTACTTTTTGAAAATAGATTGCAATAGCTTCAAAACATCAAAAATATCTTCAAAAAAAATTCTGAAATATCATATAATTAATACAAAATTTCGAGCAGAAAATCTTCGATCGATAAAAATGTAAAAATAATAATATAGTGGAACCTCGTTTAGCGGGTTTAACAAGTTTTAAAAATGATGTAGTAACCGCGCAATCCAGGACATCTCTTCTCATAGTCACTCGTTATGCGAAACGTCGCTCGTTAAGCGAGTCTCTTACAATTAATTTTGCTCGTTATGGGTGGTGCTCGTTAAGCGAGGTTCCACTGTACATAGAAAAGCTTATGACGATCATCATATTAAGCATATTTTCACAAAGCTAAGGTTCATAACATTTGTTAATTTTCTATTGTGTAATATTTATAGTTTTTATTAGATTTAATTAAATTCAACATTAGTTTTTGAGATTCAAAGTTGCACAATGATAATTATCCACCTTGAATGTTTTTTTTTTAATATCAAACGTTCATTATTATTTCAAAGAAGCAATAATAAAATTCTATTATTAATTAACATAAAAATATTTCAAATTAATTGAAAAATACATTAATATTACTAACAAATGTTTAATTTATGTTTTCACAGAATATAAACATTTATTTAAAATATTATATATATTAATCTATTAATTTAATTTTAAAGAGAACGAAAGTAATGTTTGCAAAAGTCATAGAAATATAAAATAAATACATATTCAATTATTAAAAACAATTACAAGAGACTATTGACCTAAATAATAACTATGTATAATATTGTTAACAATTATAATTAGTAATAATTCTTCATAGAAATCAGTTTCAATAAAAAAAAAATACATCAAAGAATTAAATGACTATAGATGAGCAAATCATGAAGAAAATGAAATAAAATTTAACAATATTTATTGAGAACTCATCAGAAACGAGAGAAAATTATCTTAAACTCTATTCTAATCTGAAGAAAAATCAAGTAAATTCATAAGAAACTACAACAGTTAAAATCTTTAAAAAGTAATCAAAATTTAGCGATTAGAAAGAAAAGGTTACAATAATTATTAAAAATAGTCAATATTAAAAATTACTCTACTTTAATATTATTATTAATTATAAATTATAAAGTCTATATCAAATAAGATACTGTCGGGATTTCGAATGTCGGGAACTTGATTGTCGCGATTTCGTCGTTGAGTCCTGTCAATGGTTCATGTGATTTTCATTTCACTATGTTTTGTCCGTAACTATATAATTGCTATTTTACATTTTAATTATTGATGTTTCTATAATGTTCAATAATGTATTACATACATTTTAAGTTCTTGTTTATTCGTTGCATTTCATGAAGAGACGTGACAATATAGAAAAATTGTATTTTCAAATTTCGTTTTCCCAAGCATCTGGTTTTGGGGTCTCTTCGTGCAGGTGCTCCTCTTTCTATGGTCAATACAATCGCACTTTATTGTTATTTCAAGCTTTGAGTCTGGGAATTTTCTAAAACCAATTTCTATATATCACATCTTTCACGTTTTCTTTTAAATGCAATTAATATAAATAATAGAAACATTGCGTATGACTCCAAATTCAACATAATTTTATTTCTAAATAATTATAAAAAAAGTATGAGTTTACTCGCAAAATATAATACTTTTAATGATTTATTATTTATAATAAAAGGCGTAATTACAGGGTTTTTTTCAAAGACAATGTGTTCTTTATTATATAAAATTGATATATAACTGCTTTATAAGATTGTTAAATAAATTATTTTTTATTTTCATTTTTTTTTCTCTGAAATATTTGAAAGAAAACACAAATCTTAATTTTACAGGTAAACTACAGGTAAAAACGGTCACTACTTCAAATCCATTACGTAGAATTACATCACAAAATAATACATAAAATTTCCATCTATATTGTTTACATTTATTTTATTATTTGATTTGAGTCAATGAAATTAAAGGCTGTGTTTATTTGTTTGTTTTTTAATTGACATGCAACACGTGCCTCTGCACTACTATTCTATAGTAATAAAAGACCAATAAACAATGATATAATTAATGATATTACTTGCAAGTTGTTGGTTACTGAAACACGATATATTATTGATTCAAGAAACGCCGTTTATGTTAGCAAATTTTAATCATATTTTTTTGTTTATGCATTGGTAAAGCCGATGGAAAACGCAAACGGTGAAAGCAACATATTCAGTCGTTTTTCTTTTATTGACTTCACAAGAATTTTCAGAATTCATAACAAAGCATTTTTTTTACAATATATTTGAAAAGGGTGAAAAATGAAGGATTTTGGGAAAGGATTATCTTTAAGGTTTATTTCTGAGAAAATGAACGTTTGAACGTTTTAATATTAAATACGATAAGTCAATGATTCAAGAAACGTCGTTTCTATTTGTTAGCAAAATTTAATCACATCTTTTGTTTATGCAATAATAACGCCGATGAAAACAACACATTCGGTTATTTCCTTTCGAATTTCTTAGACTTTTGCATTATTTTCTTTTATTAATTTTAAACGACTTTCAGAATTCAAAATAAAAGTTTTTTGTTACAATCTGTTGTTTTATATATCGGAGATGGTGGAAAGTCAAAGGTTTGAGAAAGGATTGTTTCATAATAAATTGTATTGTATCGCATAAGTTTAAAACCGCATAAAAATGATAATTTATTAAAAATTCATAATTTTGTGATTTTTTTACCAATTTACTTTAATTTTTTTCAATTCAAAAGTGAATACGGATCGACAGTAGCGCATCATGATTTTGTAAGGCACTTGACGGAACCTGATTTGGAGCCCCTCTATTGACCTTACTAAGAAAATCGTTACGTTTTTTTGCGATTTGGAGACCCCTTAATCCGCCACTGCAAATCAAAGTAAGACTATGCGAGGTATTGGTGCATATTCATTTTGTGTGGTGGTTTCATATAAAACTATAAATGAATATTAAATTTATGTTAGAAATATAAAATGTAGAGAGAAAGACTTAGTTCGCTAATCTTTTGGTTAGGAATGTAATCGAAATAACTAGATCTGTAGTTTCTAGAAGTATAAAGTTTTTAACCCGTGTTTAATTACGTGTTGTTAAAAAAAATCTTCTGAAGTATTATTCTAAATACGTATTGATATGACAGCTGTCATCCATAAGAGATACAAGTTGCTTAACTATTCGTAAGTTATGAAACGTCAACTACGTCACATTTGTATATTGAACGAACGAAATATATAAATATTTATAAAAAAAAGTTATAAATTGTTAGATAAAATAACATCTTTGAGAAAAAAAATAACACATTTTTCATGTTTTTTTTTTATAAATCTATGAATGGAAATAATTCGAAATCGTTGTTCATTTTAGAATATTTGAATAATATTAATGAGATGTGTTATGTCATTCTGACATAATATTGGAAAAGGTTAGAAGTTAAAAAAATAAATCAAATCAGCTATCGACCATCATGAAGATTCTTAACAATGTTTTATAATAATTTGTAGTTTTAAGGTTTTGTTAAGCAAAGAAATATTCATGTTCTACAAAACATGAATAAATTGGAAGTACAATGAAACCTCGCTTAACGAGCACATCGCAAAACGAGCATTTCGCTTAACGAACAAAAATAATTGTAAAAAAAAATGACTCGCTTAACGAGCTACGTTTCGCATAACGAGTGAGAAGAGAAGTCTTGGATTGCGCGGCTGCTACATCATGTTTAAAACTTGTGTATTTTTTAATATGTTTCACTATACGAGTAAAAATCCGGAAATGTTGATACAATCTGGATTGCCACCGATAGTTCATATAGTCCGGGTAATCGGTTCCGCCATTATCGAAGATTGTTTGAAACCGGAAGACTTTAAAACCACATAAAAATTAACAACACAAAATGAAACTTCTCTGTATAGAGGAAAAATATCAATTAAAATTGTTTTGAAATTTTCAAATCGGGCTATAGTCTGAATCCGAATTGATCGAAGTAAAAATATGCGAGGAATTGTAAAATAATTTGTTATTGATCAGAAAAAGTATTTTCAGTTATGAAATATTTATTTATT